ATCCCGCATTTAACTTTAATATTATAATTTATATCCATTTCATAGCAACACCAACACCCGTCATATACTTATTATTTATCATGAAATGTATGATATTTCAAAAAATATTATTAAAACATATTTTGCATTATTAATAGTTGATCTTCAAACAAAAATATGTATAATGTAAGAATAATTTTGAACTTGTAAGGTTTTTTTTAAATGTTTGCAATATATTTTTCAATTTGTCTTTTATCTATGAATATTACACAGTAAAATGTATTATTTTTTGTTGATCAGTTTCTTAACGTATTTCTTTACATGGCAAGTTTAAACAGTTTGTACCATTAGCAAAGTTGTTTCGATATCAAGACATTTTACTAAATTGTTTGACAACACAGTAGTCTTTGAAGATATTTTTCTCAGGAATTATACTGTAATGATTTACGCCACTTGAAAGTTTGTGCGATTCCACTGAAATTTTGCTGCTGGCAGTATACACAGTAATAATATATATAATGGCAGAGTTGTCTGCGGTATATGATTTGCTTAAAACTCAACGTGGCATGACAACTCCACCTGGGTGTGTTTAAAAGTTTCCAGACAAAAAGGGCCATCGAAGAGTACAATGAAAACAAAAAAAATACTTAACTAGATTATCGAACACGAATGTCGGATGGTGGACAAAGTCTCCTTTTCCCCCTCGATTGACAACAACCCGCGTAGAATTACAGTGCCAAATTACACAGCCGAAGCAAACATGAATTTAAACAATTATTTGTATTAAATTAAACTAAAAAAAAATAGATAAATGCCAAGATTTAAAAAATTAACGAAAACAGTAGCTCTGTTATATAATGTAATGATCTAAAAACAAAACGGTATTTTTATTTTACAACCGGCAAATAAAATATATTTGATGTACTTGACATAACAAATAAAGTATTTTACTCGATTGTGCGAACGACGGTTAAACATTATATTCACCGAAGTAAACACTCGAGTAAACAAAAAGTTTGTTAGGAGTTACACTTCATTTAACAGTTTTGAATTTTGTAAAAACTGTGTTGTTCAACCCGTATCTAACGAGTTTCAGCATGTATATGGGGTGGTAGTTAAAATCGTTTCTAATATTTAAATCGCCTCTTAAAATAGGTTGGAATAAATTCCGTCGGTAAACTAAAGATTATAAATGTTTTTTACCATTTTAAAGTCTCACTATTTAAATTTATGCCATAATATGATCTCTTGCAATAGTTCTTCCTTTTCCTCTAAAGACTTTACAAAATCGATTTTCAATTAATTACCTATTATGTTTATAAAATGTCGGCTCCATGTTTTTTTTACGTTACGTTAATGAGATCTACGTTTAAGTAGGTAGTCACAATAATATTATTTTAATAAGTTTCGTTCGATGATTTGAATGTACATAAAACAATTTACCCACAGACTATATTGGTATATTAAATTCAATTTTTTAAATGTGTTTTTCTGTTGAACATATTAATATTATAGCAACTAAAATATATATTTATATATATTAAAGTGTTATTATAGATAGGTTTTATTATTATTTTGTTATTGTTGTAAGTTGAAAGCTTAGTATAGATGGCTTTTCAAATCTAATAAGCTTTGTATAATCAATAATATATATAATATAAGAATAGGATTTGCTACACTATAATGTTATTAGATTTGAGAGAATTTCATGTTCAAGGTAGTGTAATAAATTAATAGCAGCAAATGTATAGGGAATAATATCAGTTTATATGCTCAGATGACATTTTTATATATTATTAACAATTATTAATATTATGATTATTCCTTTTTTTTTTTAAAGTAAAAAAATAGAAAAATATTGAATTGTACTTTCATGAAGACAAATAATAAATTCAATTTGATTAGCAGTATCATTTACAATTTCTAGCTCGATGTAATGATATATTATTGTACATTAAGTTTGAGTTTCCTTTCGAAAGGCTTTGTAATGAAATGTTATTTAGTAAATGAGATTTTCACCTACACAGGCATCAGTCTTGTGAAAATTCGATTATCGCCAAACTAGATTGTTCGGTGTAGCCTTCGAGTCTTTCATCCAACGGAGGTATTAATCTTAAAAAGGTTTTCGAAAACTGTAGAGTATTAGATCAGTAGGTATTTTAAAACTTTATTAAACGTATCATAGTATCTACGTCAGAGCTGTGATAAAATTCTATTTTAATGATTTCTATTTTCTTGTTATTTAATTTACTGTCTATTAGTACAACGAAATTCATATACTAATACTATTAATTATTATACTATAAAATATAAACAATTATGTTTATGTGCATATACATTTTTAAATACAAAATAAACGATATAATGATAGCTAATAATCATCACTATATAAATGTATATATTATTATGTTTTATCTTGTAGTGGAGAGTTCGTGATTTTACTTGTTGAGTTTTTTAGTTAATTATATAACTATGTATCATGCTTAATACCTTAAATCTATAAAATATTAATTTTCATGAATGTAGGTATTATAAATTATAGATGACTAACTGTAAAACGTTATATTTCTTACAGTATTTCCTTTATGTATTTTTACATTAAATAAATAATATAAAGTGGTACTGTAATATAATACATTTAATACAATCGTATGACACCCATTCGTATTATTTATATTACCTTATACTTTTTTTTTATCACAATTCCTACGTATTTAAATATGTTTTATGGGTACTATGCAACTTTATTTCAATAAGTTTTACTTTACTTGGTTTTACTGGTCTAGTAATAATCTACTTCACATTTATTGCTAACGGTTTTTTTTATTGTGCTTGTTTATCACTATCCATAAATTTGTATCGAAGCGTTTGGTTGTGATAAAATCACTCAGATTAAATTCACACAACTGTAGTTTTCTACACCGTTTTCTTCCTTTTCTAGTTCTTTTGTTATATGTTTATAGGATGCTTATACTTTTTACGGTTATGGTTTTAATTTTTATGCTGTGCCAATATGATAGTACGGACAAAATAATTGTTTTTTTTTTAAGAGGGTTTCTGTCCAATACACTCCAGATTTTTAAAACGATATAAATTTATCAGTACCACATTTTATAGTATACGTATAATTAAATTCCAACTTTTGTTAGGATTACGTCACTGTTACATTGTTTTGATAGAGTCTCTAAGCTGTTTTTTTATTAACGCCATCACTTGCAACGACCATACAACATAATAGCAAAACAGTGCAGGTACGTTATAATATATTATAATAATTTGCGTTATAATAACAGCGATACGATACGGTTGGGACGATTTCACGAGTGGTCACACAGATAAAACATCATTTTTCTAAAATGCAATCACTGAAACCGTAGCGCAGCATGTCTCCAGTTACAACGATAATGATAATAATACTCACACGGGGAGGGTTCAAAGCCGGTAAACAAACCTGTGACTTTAAAGCGCTTTTGTATTTTGATATATGATTGTCGCGTGAAATTTATAACCGACCATCGGGCGCCGGTATACGTCATCAAAATAAAGTGTATACACACAGCAATGTGAATATGATGCCTGCAAAACCTGAAACCGAGATAGCAATGTTTGTTAAGATTATTGCGCACAAAAAACCGGTATATAATATAATATATTAATATTTTATTCCTCTCGGCAGCATTAAAAAATGTATATTTTCTATAAAACTTGATATTTTGTTATGTTGTATAGAATATACATTTTCTAAATAAAACCACTCTGATATAATTATTTGTTAAACGTTTTATAGAATAGTGGCTTTAATAAAAGCATAATAGCTCTTACGGTTTTGATGAAATCAAGGCAGGGGACAAATAATAAAAATATATTACTTTTTCGGTGCTTCCAAAAATAGTTGTTGTTATTCAATTTACAATGCTTAAGTAATACTATAATTTTTTAATAGAATACTTTTAAAATAGATATTATTACATGATGGGACATTTAACAAGTATATAAAAAAATGTTATGAGTAAATACTAAACACACAGTCCTTGTTTAAAAGAGCTGTTATTGGACGGGAATAACAAAAATTATTAAGTCAACTTGGACATTCCATTCTAACAGTTTGTATGGTCAACAATTTACACTTTCAAAAAATTACTAACTTAAAATACAAAAATTAAAAATACGTTGATAAATAAATCAAATATTATTTGTCGATAGTGATAAGTAAAATAATTTGGTCTTGTCTTGGTCTCGATGCAAGACCAAGACCAATTATGCTCATCATTATTTGTGGAACCAAATTTATGTAGTATGTCTCAAAATGTTAGTGTACCCCAATAACGGTCAAGTCAAGTCATATCAAGCCAAGTCAAGTTATATAATAATATTATGTCGTGATTTTTGTAATCATGTTGTAATAACTAATAGTGTCACAAATGCGCGCACGCATCAATATTGCATACCTCGAACGCCGTTTTAAAACATTTTAAACGACACTTGTACAATGTTTAGTTTATTAAATAAACTAGGCTACTTCTAGTTTTATTATGAATCAACCTAATAACCTACTATTGGAATAAATAGCTGAGAAATCTGATTAACATTGTTGGTCTGTCAATGTTTAAGATGTTGTGGTGTATATCGAAGTAGTTATTTTTATTTCACCCATGCGATGTCATTGAACGAGGTGTACACGTTGAAACTTAAATCACTGCAATGTCTAAGACTTGTCTGGGTATTCTGTATACTTTTTTAAGCAAATTTCAGTATAAATTAAAAAATATATAACCTTGTACTCGTGTCCTGACTGCACAGATGAACTCACCGTGTGTTTCCGGAGGAGCCCAAGCGGAGACACAAAATCTCCCGCAGAGTTATTGTAACGTTAAATATGAATAACCAAATAATTGAATATGAAATGATGTATTGTTGTTATTAATTTTTTAAACGCAAATTTTATTTTTAAATGTTGAAAACGATTTTTATTTTCATATAACATATTTTTATGATGTAAAGAATATAATAATTATCCGCAGCGCCGACGGCAATTTCGACGTGACGTTGGCCACCAAGGCGACCATATACCACGTAGGGTTGGTAGAATGGAAGCCGCCGGCTATATTCAAATCGTCGTGCGAGATCGACGTGGAATTTTTCCCGTTCGACGAGCAGACGTGTGTACTGAAATTCGGTAGCTGGACTTACGACGGATTCAAGGTTAGCCCCTCCTCGCCTTGCCCTCCCTCTAAGGCGCCACTATAATTTAAAAAGCCCCCTGCGCCGGAAAAAAAGTTATCTATTCCCCATAACGTTCTGTACATAATGTTGTTGTACAAAAGTAATTGAAAGTTTCATTATTACACACCTTACTATTATATTTTTACTTGAAAACAATTGAAATAATGATCACGTAATGATTTTGATGTAATTATGTTGTTATTGTTGTTGTTGTAATGATTGTTGCACCGAGCACGAACAAACCGAATCGTAGCGCCGTCACTATATTATTACATTATTGAATTATTATCAGCTCTGTATGTAAAATGACTATCACATCTAATATGTCTACATCTTCCTCTTAAACCGATTTGTTGTTATCTTTCAGCGCTGTATATAAAAACATTTGTGTGTGCTTTACACTTGATTATTTTTCTATATTTTTGTTTTCGTTTCTTGCTCCAATAGAAATTGTACATACAGTATTATTGTTTTTTCGTCCTACATTTATGTGATTACAAAATAATTGCATAAAACTCAAATATAATTTTTAAACAAAACAATTTTATAGTAATTAATAAAACATCAAAATATAGTGGTTCAATTTATATACTGCAATGCTTGCAGTTCTTGTTTAAGGTCATGCGGGGTAAAATAAAAATAGAGCACTTCATTTAATTGCAATTTTTTTTTTTTTTTTGTAAAAAAAAACCAAAATTTTTGTGTTTTATATAATTCTATACTATAAAACGTTAACACTTAACATATTATAATAATTAATAGCTTTTAGTTAAAATTAAAAAGGTACCATTATTTTAATAGAAAATTCGCATTTATCCTTGCACCATTTTATGCAACTATAAATTAACCCTAAATTCCATTAACTAAATTAGATTTTAATTGAATAAGAAAGCTAGTTTTATAACCGTGAGATTTTTCTATGTCGTGTAATAAATTATCTTTATCACTTAGTTTTAGTTCTGATAAATCTGAGAAAATATTGCATGGACATTTATGCAATTAATCTTGATGACTTTTTTTCTAGAATATACTTTTTTCTCTTATAAATTTATAAGTGATGTACATAAAAAACATTATTTCACATGTTCATTATTTTAACGAGAATGTTCAGCACCGAAATATAAGTTTTGTCACTTGTTGAACAATTCTTAAGTGTATTATACACTTAAGTGTATATACACTGCGTATATATTATTTCTTAAGCTTGATATATTATTTTATCTTATATTTCATTTATTTGGTCATATTATTTTAATAATAGTGTATGGAGTATCTTTTAAAATATAATATTTGTGTAGATAAACTATAGATTATTAAATAACATTAAACATGTGTGTGAATATTATGCATTTAACCCTGTATACTAATTAGGGCTAAACTGTGTACAAATGGTTGACTAAAAGGCGAGTGAAATGTAAGATTATTATTTACAAATTAATTATATTTATACATTTTACTTTACGGTAGTGTTCATTTATAATATTTGACAAGTTTAACGTTGATACATTAATGTTTAATGCCCTTGTTACTTCAAAAAGATTTAAAATTAAGCTATAAAAATAGTACAGTGTTATAAGACTTTCTGTTTAACGACTTGCTAAGGATTTTTACTGCGGTAATAAAAACGTATATTGAGTTACATTTTTTTCTCATTTTACCCGGATCAAATATATTATGGCTATATTTTATTAAAAACTAAATTACCTTCAACTATATATTTTAATTTCAAGCAAATCTAAAGTAAACGATTACTTAATACTAACGAAAAAATGTACATTATTTGAAAACCCGTTGCCGAATATTGGAAATAAATTATAAGGGAAAACATGGGAAAGGAACAAGAGAAATTATATGGGATAAATAAGAAGAAATATAGGAAAATATGTTTATAAGAAATATATTAGTGTTAGAGAAGCTAATTGATTATAAAGGACAAGATGATTAGGTTAAGTAGTGGTAAGAATGGTGATTGATAAGGAGCAATGTGGGTAGGGAAACTGAAATCGGCTGACCAGCGATAAGATAGTGATATAAGAATCGAAAACTATTGCTATTTTAAGAGGTACTCACAGATTTTGGTCATGCAAATATATATGGACTGTATAAAACTTACTTATGTAACAGGTACATTTTTTTTAAAATTTTTCTCAATATATTTTTGATAACATTCTTGAACATTAGGTAGCGGTTCTGTAATATAACGGCGGTAGCGAAGCCTCAAGTGCTTTGTCGGTGTTTTGTACATAACCGAACGATGATATAAATGGTTTTTTTGTAGTCGCATATAGTAGACGTGGTATGTTGTGTGTTTTTCCAGTGCGGACGGTAACTACGAGGTGACCCTTATGACAAAGGCGACTGTCTATTGTAATGGGGTTGTCTTATGGCAGCCACCGGCCGTCTACAAGTCCTCGTGTTCCATCGACGTCGAGTTCTTCCCCTATGACATCCAAACATGCGTACTGAAACTAGGAAGTTGGACCTATGACGGGTTTAAGGTGAACACAATAAATAAGACAGGACAAAAATTCACCTGCTTATGGCCGGCTAAAACAAATTCCACGTGTCTGGTTCATCGGTCGATAGATGTTTCTAACGAAAGGCTTTAAATAATGGGTTTTCATACTCAACGCTGGCCTTATATATAGTTTTAGTGTATAACATTATATTTTGTGCACGCAGCATCATAGAGCAACGGCTTTCAAGTAGTTGCTTCGTTTAGTACATGTGATAGATTTCCCTTGATGTAGACATATCATGTTATAGCGTGTATCGATGCTGTCAGGATACGATGAACCAGATATATCCCAACAGGGCTTGTGTGATGTGTTGGTCATTGACATTATTATTATTAATATTGTTTTTGAAAAAATAATGCTACTGTAACGTCACGTTACCATATTTATACGTTGTGTTGCGTGTGTTGACAATACTGATTATAATAATGTGTGAACCATCCGTTTTACAGGAAACTAAATATCGGTGTACCATAAGTTGAAAACCTATACCGTAGCGTTGAAATTCAAATTAAATTATTCACAAGAAATGTTTTTTCACGCAAATCGATAATAGGTAGGTTTTAACGATTTTGTTTTGTTTTATTTTACCCAACCACGGTGTTTTAACGTATAGGACCGACAACTAGAAAACAAGTACCGAATAAAAAGTAAAAAATGTAGGTATCTATAAATCAAGTATTAGAACAATAATACTGTTTTGATACTGCGGACAGACGGACTGGGATAATTATTTTTCCTGGGCAAACCAAAACAGAACTCACCGCACACGAGTTGCCGTTTTGTTGTGTTACCTCGAACACGCTTGACAAAAGGTCTAAATATTGGAAAAATGACAACAAAAAAACGTTGGACACAAACAACCTATGCAAGGCATGTTTGTTCCTTTTTTTTTGGGGGGGGGGGGCAGTGCCGTATGACGTAGGTCACACCCCAAGCAAAAAATTATCGCTATTCGATCTGTGCGGTTTACAAGCTCAAAACAGTTGTCAATACACTTGAACGTACAACCAAACTGCCGACGTTAAGCGTATTGTCAAACACAATATAGTAATATTATAATAACCGCAGTGCTTGCTTTGGGCAGAAGGGGCGGGGGACTGAGTACCTCAACTCATTTTTTGGATATTCTAACGTACCCCTACTTTTTTTTAAAGAGGAACGCATAGGACTGGTTGTTATATTTTAGGTTTACCTATTTTTTTTATGAAATTGTCCAATTTGATGTATTTTTTGTGATAAATATATGAATATTACAAAATGTTCTAATATTCTCAACTACGGGATCATTTAAATGAATATATTTCAAAAATAAAAACCGATTATTTAATTTATATAAAAATAAGTTTCTATTTTTTTTTTGTATATTTTAAGATGGTTCTGAAAATGACAAGTTATACCTAAACAATTGTTGTAATATTCTGTTTTTTTTATGATAGGAGACGTTAATTAGAGGTCCGTAAATGGGGGGGGGGGGTGAGAGGGGCTTTTTGATCGAAAAGGAAACGGATCCTTTGTCTGTGTCATTCTTTTCCCAGTATCGATGAGGAGTGCGTTAGGCTGCAGCTGTACATAAATTCACAAGCCGAGCCAAGTTCTATTGCAGCATAAAACAAAGTGATTTTAATTAGTGTCATTTGAATGTGGTTCTACTATTATAACTCAATAAGTGCTTACGAGTGCGTTTTAATCATGTTCCCTCGGAGGTAATTACAACAATATAAAATAATATAATAGTCTCTGTACCTCGAATTGATCAATAATTAATAATCCTGTACATACATATTTGTATAGATTGTTTTTGTAAAATAAATAAAAATTAAAAAATTAAAAAATTAAAAAAAATTAATAATCCTATTCGCTGAGTGTTTGGAGTGTGACTTCAGAAAAAAAAACCTAATATTTAAAACTGAATTCAAAATGTCAAGTATTGGCTGATTGAAACAAATCAGCCAATAAATTAATAGTAAACCCACTTAACGGAGTCCAATTAACTGACTTGAATATTTACTATACTTACGATTTCTCATTTTTTATGAACTTCGATAACCATCATTTGTCGCTGTGTGTTTATCAAAAAAAAAAAAAAAACGCTAATGTAAAAATATACAAAATAATTTTATGTTTTAGTGTATAATACTTTTGTAAGTCGCCGATAAAATCATAATTATACATATGTATATTTATAACTAATGGACAATGATACAAAATATTTGGTTTATTTTTCTGTGGGCGAATTGAACCTTTCCAGAAAATAATCTCGAGCAACTCCTATAAAGCACGATTCATTATATAGAGAGTTACTGGATGAATTTTATACCGATGAATTTCCAATGAAATTATTTATAATTTGAGTATGCAAAAGTATAAAAAATTCAGCAACTTATGTCTAAACTTGATGGGAAATCGTGACCGCTGTTTACTAAAAAATGCAAAATCGTTGATAGCAATTTCCATTGCTTTCATAAATTATTCCAATACTGAACCTTTTAGATTTAAATTATAATTACAACAGTTCATAAATTATTATTCTGGTAGAAAAATGATTTAACCACTCAGTACACGAGCAGCCCCGCAGGGATTTAATATATAGTATATCACTCAATCTCTCAAAAAGTAACCAGTTATTTTTTAATTTCGTTTATTTACAATAACTTTGCCGACTTGTGCAGAGCTAGGCAAGCCAATTAAGGTAAATTAAATCGTTAAGCTACAAGTTACTGGCAGATCAAAGGTAAATAATATAGGCGAATGGTTATTGTGGGTTAATATTGAATAAATAGTTGACGCAGTCAAAAGCATAGTACTACATTGCATTATGTTAATTATATTTTAATTACTTATAAATAATTTGTACTTTAAATATAGTGTATAATAGAAATTTGAACAGGTTCTAAATCATTATTATTATTTTTAATTTAGCAAATATGAATGTTAACTGAACAATTATCAGTTTTTTTAAAACAAATTTGAAGCGTTAATCATAACAGTATACCAATATGCAAGGATAGCCGTTTCACATAGAAAGTTTAAGATAACAAATTATGTTTGCATAAATCTGACAATCGATATTTGTGTGAGATATTTTATAATATAAATGCTTTCGTTTTGTTAATAATTATTACTATTATTAAAACGGTAATAATATTTTATAGTCATTCCGAAACGGTTTTGCCACATATCAAACAATATTCTCATAATCATTCAGTTAATAATACTATAAACGTTTTCCTGTTTTTATTGCAATAAACGTTTCACATTACCATACATACAATAATAATAATGTATTCGACCCTATTTATTTTATTTACATTGGTTATTTGTATATTATGATCTTTTTTTATGGGGCGGGGGGAGGGTTTGTTTTTGTGACTGACCAGACTCATTTTTCATATTATTATCCGGAAGTATAATATTTACACATTCAAATATGACATTATCGCATCGCATTTGTTTTGTCTCTTTGTTGTTATTAAAATGTATATAAAATACGCGTTTAATATCCAAATATTGCCTTTGAAATGAATACCTAGAAATAATATTACATACTATAGACATAGAGTAAAAATTGAATATATAATACAAATATGTATAGATTAAGTGTCTACCTATACTTTTTTATTATTATGTGCACACGCGCCCTTAAACGTTTCTTTGAATCTTTGACTTCAATCGACCCGGTTTACCTTTCATACTTTTCAGTATAATGGTTCAATAAATAATATGAATTTCCCTGTTAAGATCAAATGAAAGATTTTATCATATTATTGTCCAGTTTGAAAGGAGACCCGGTAAATACCAACCACCGTTAAATTGGGCAGCGCTGTTGATTTTCAATTTAAATACGGTTAATAATAAACTATAAAAAAAATTGACTATTATAAATTATAATTTTTTATAACCTCCCTACGTAGCAGTAAACGATTTTTAAAAGTACTACTTTGAAAAATAATAACATTTTTAATATTGTATAAAAAAAACAGTGTTTTTACATATTAAAAAACATATTATGTTTCTTTCTATATTGTTGTATGAGTTGGAATTAAATTATTCGGAAAAAACAAAACAATTATAATATATAATATTTATAATTTTGCAATGTAGTAATTTATAAAAGTTTCGATGATCAGGTAACGGAGAAATAACAAAATTTAAAAAAAATTAGATAATTAAAGCATTTAAAAACATTAAGTATCCAATTAATTGATTACATTTTTCTTTGGTATTATTATGATGAAGACAATTTTAATTTTTTTTTTATGGTAAACATTGTCATAATCACTAGTTAATATGGACACTATAATGTGCCAAAATCATCAAAAAACTATTTAATAGTAATAAAACTAAAATATAGTTATATGGTAAAAGCAAAAAAGTTATTTTTTCTGAGAGAAACAACTATAATTCTAAGTGAGCTGCTCACCATGTGGGTTGCCAAAAGATACAGCATACTATTCAATATACAAATACATAATACAATTTTAAGTTTACTAATATAGAATTCAGTATCATCTCATATATTATACTTTCATATATTTTTGATGATAAATGAAATACAGCATGCGTCATGTTAATATTGTAATATTACAATATTTACAATTGTATATTATAATATATATATTGTTAGTACAATTTGTTTGCGAAATTGTCTTGTTGTGCTTTTGTAGAATAAAAAATGGTTTGTTCGTCATTTTATATATTTTACTATTAGAACTAGTACACTATTATAGTATTTGCTTAAGTGGATTGCTTCAGTTGTAGTTGCGTTATTGATCATTATTATTAATATATTTCACAACTTTACTGTTATGAAAAAAGTGAGCTACAAAGCGACAGAGGTTTTTTTAAATATAAAATATATTATTTTCCTTCCGAACCGATAAGATTAAAATAAACAAATGGATAGAGTAATATTACTTAACTGATTATTTACCTACGGTTTTGTTTTTCAATAAAAACTTTTTTAATATTTTCTGTCGGCACGCATAACAATTTACAATTCAAATCTTAGGGAGACATATCATTTTATATTTTTTTTAGACCTTTGAGAAGATTTATAATCACTACTAGACATTATTGAATTTCTGTTATTTTTTTATACATTATAAATTTGAATACTTATGCAATAGTGAAAATAAAAAATATAATCTAGACTTTGTTTTGTTCGTATCTCCCTTTTTTCTATTAACAGTGCAAATTCGAATTAAAAAAATAGATAATTACCACAATGTTATAAACCACCACAATATTTACACAACGCTTTATGATGTCGTTCGGATAGAAAAAATGAAATGGACGCATATAGCTAACAATTTTTACAGGTAGACCTGAGGCACATGGACGAGAAAGTTGGTTCGAATGTCGTGGAAGTCGGTGTGGACCTGTCAGAATTTTACATGTCAGTTGAATGGGATATACTAGAAGTGCCAGCCGTCAGGTAAAATTACAAAATTATTACAACAGATTAGGTCTGTGATAAAACTAACGAGAATAGGTAAGACACATTTTTTGGGGTTTAATAAACTATTTAGTCTTATCGGCTTCGCATAATGAACATGGGTACATTTTCTTTTGGTCATGAACAATGCATTTTTAACTAAAAGGTATATTATTATCCGTTAAGTGTTCAAAATGGTACATGGGTCGTTTTTAGTTTTGCAATTTGTACTCTTCAAATTTCCATTTTTACATCTGAAACATACCATAATTAATCATTCATTAGACATAATACCGTCATTACTTATGCATGCTATAAATATTTATACGCTGTATGGAATTATACATGAGGATTTCTGGTATTTCACCAAAGGTCGCCTGTTTAGTGTTTGGCCCTTTTTTTTCTTACTAAGCTTATATTAGGGAGAATTGTTGTTATTCATGTTAGTTATTAACAGATAACAGGAAATAGTAAAAAATGATGTCTGGTTGAAATGGACGTGGAAACAATAGTTAGATAATATTATCACATTTTGTTTGTATGGAATAGTTAAATTGAAATTTTATAATCGATCATGAGATAAGTTTTTTTTTTTAATTTTGGCTTTTAAATATGTTGAAAATAAAGTAAACACAGTTGAAGTTAGATAAGATAATATTATAAAAAGTTTAGAATAAAGGAAACAGATAGGGAACACATGGAAGCAAGTTTCGTTAGTGTTCAGATAGTATCTACTCATTATAAACTCTATACTTGTTATACTGTTGGCCAAAATACAGTTTTACAGTAGCTTTTTGTATCAACTTCCTTTTAAGTTTTAAAATAAAATTGCTTTCCTAAAATCTTTTCTTAGCTTTTAGCCGAGAAAAATGTTGTGCTTTTCGGTATCCAGCTACATATTAAACGGCCTATCGTTTATTTTTCAATTAAAATACAAATTTGAAAAAAATACTTATTTATTTTTAATGACATTGAAATTTAACGATGATGGATAGTCGAATATATTAAAACACAGAAAAACCTCCATTTTAGCTTAACGGCTGTTATAATTTGAATTTACATTATTTCAATACCGAAGATGAATTATTTTCTAAAAAAACGTATTTAAAAATCAAGTTCATACACTAAGCATACAAATTTCAATGCTTTACAAAATATAACACCATTAAACCAATATTTAATACTAATCTTATACTTAATTACAAATCGTGATTAAGGATGAAGTCTTGATTGTTATTATTTATTGACATGGATAATGCAGGTGGTCACTATACAACCCGTCTTTTAAGTAGTTTTTTGTGTGGTTACGGATATTTTGTGATGTTCTTAATAATTGAAGTTTTTCTACACCACAGGAATGAAAAAATATACAACTGCTGCGACGAACCGTACTTGGACATAACTTTCAACATTACAATGAGAAGAAAAACGCTCTTCTATACCGTCAACATTATTATTCCTTGTATGGGAATTTCATTCCTCACTGTGCTGACATTTTATCTGCCATCGGACAGCGGTGAAAAGGTTAGTAACCAATTTGCAGTACGTTCAATTAAAATAGATTTTAACGGGAATCAAAACAGTGAATATTTTTTTTTTTTTTACACAATCGCGAAATGCACAGTCAAACTAAATAGCTGGAACATCATTAATTCACTAACTGACAGTCGAAAATAATTGAGTTTTCATAGTTCACCGTTTACTTCCAAAACACTACATCCCATATATTATAACGTATAGTAGGTGTATAACGGCATGTCGTTTACTGATAATCTTGTAATACATTTGTTGGAACACACCTGCCGGAATAATTATACTGCGTGATGTTGACAGTTTGTCAGCAAGATAAAGGTAAAAAACGACTACAATGGTCTACGATCTACATGGAAGTGGATAGAACAAATAGAACAGATAACTGACGGAAAATACTGTATAAATAGTATATGTATTACCTTCAGGTCATATACCTAATTACAGCTGTTCAGGTCACGTAAAAACATATTTTCACTCGTCGCCATATTATTTAGGTAAGTTATAGATTTGATGTAACATAGGAATTCTATAGGATGTCTCACAATGATAATTTAAAATAATAGATTCCGAAAAATACATATAGGTTTTGATTTTTTAATGGTTAAGGTTATTTAAATAGTGATTAGTAATGTGTTTTTATACTAATGCTATACACACAAAGATGCCATTTCGAGTTCTTAAAATTTATTTTTACATCTAAAAGTTATAAAGCCTAAAACTTAAATTACAAAATGGTAACTTAAAAGATCTATTGAATAGTATAGTTAAAATTGCAATGCGTACAGTTTCAAATTTTACAAACAATTGTAAAACGTAGTTATATTAAATTTTATCATTTTTTATACTTAATCGCAAAAAACGTAGCTTTCTACAAACAATTTCATATAATAAAAATTAATTTCATACAAAATAATTGAATTAAAAATAACTATTTAATGCTAAAAATCAAAATTAGTTATTTTTCATTAAAATATTACTGTAGCAAGTATGAAAACAATATAAAAGCGAATAGCAAATTAATAAAGATTACTAAAATATAAAAACAAAATATTAAAATACCTGATATCTGTCATTTATGTCTGTTAATTTAAAGAAACTTTGTCAACTATTGTTCATATTTTTCGTTCACAAAACAGCGCCACATTTATTCATGCTCACTTTTGTACAGTATTTGATAGATATTTTTTGCACAGTTATTTTTTAACAAATTTAATTGACATTTATAATCGTATTTAAGATTGCCAAGAACACTGTTTTGTGCTATTTTAAGCGTGGTTTGTGAGTTTTAATTTTCTTTGCTAAATTCAATAGTCTCTGAAGACTTTTTAGGGTTTTTTTTTTAACAAAATGAAAATTTCTTTTTTTTTTTTTTATTTAAATATGGCTTCGACTACTAGGTCATTAGCCTTTCTTTTTGTTTTGTATGTTTTTTATTTTTTGGAGACAGTTCTGAAAGCAACCAACAATATATTAGAAAAACGCATATACGATGAATATACGTCGACAGTATAGCCGACAATTTTGGTAGAAAGCTGACAAACGCATTCGGTGCCAAAACGATACCGGTGTCAAACATCATGTTAATTGAATTCCCGGGGCCCACACAAAAACAGTTCACGGCGAGGAAATGGTTTGCGCAGAAGCATAACCAGATCGCGATACCGAGTGAATTGACCAAAGCAAGAGAACAAATGGGCAAGATCAATGAATACCACGGAAAAGCGGTGGATATGGGACGAAAAATGATAATAGAGATTATTATTTTATTTTATTTCTGGTTACAATGGTTGGATACTTTACTCGCATTGACTTATTTGAAATCAGTAATTTTGAACAGTGGAAAAGTAAATTAAGTCGGACACGGTTATCTTTATAATATATGCATACCAGTAGGGATGACCGATGGAGAATATGAATCGTCAACGTGGCATGACTGTGGTCGGATGAAAAATTCGTTTTTGTCTCTCAGACGGGTTCTTTGCCGTTGACACGTTTTCCGGGTAATAGATACACAAGATAACCGGATGTATAGGCGTATGCACACACACACACACCGACCCATATGAAGGGTAGTGGATAATTCGCTTAGCGCCACCTCAAGAAATAACGAGCTCGTCAAAAATGACTAATGGCGCGCGCCGATGATGGAAGTGCATTTAAAACGATAACGTGTTTTTCGGTTTAAGGATTTGTCGGTTGGGTGTTTGTCAGAAACAAACGCCCAAAAAAATCTAACTTAAAATCCTCTCAAATCGTTCACGCGGGATATACCACAATATTTTTTGTATTACTATATTTGTTGTTATCGTTAACGTTTTAATGTTAGGCCGGAGATCGAACTTGCCTCGGTATAAATTGCTGGTCGTGGCTGTCGGCTCTCGCCAAATAATATACCATATCAATCCATCAATTAATCCGTTGCAGCCCTGAAATATATTTATTAGAGATGGCCGCCGGATATCGGCACTGGAAAACGGTCCACGGACCGTTTTATTTATTTGCTAGTTTTTTTTTTTTTTTTTTTTTTCTTGATTGATGGTAAAAGAAAATAGACCTTGTCTCCGTCATTTCACAACGATGATAAATTACAAATACGAACTGTATGTTGCGATGTCTTTTGGGGCCACTTTTTTTTCGGGGAGGCGGCGAACGCACTCGAGTGGTGCGTGTCTAGTGCGGTGACCTCACAACAACAACAACGACCGACCGACGTCGCCAAAGGCCGGATATTCCGGCTAGAACAGATTTCCGGATTCGAAAAGCCACGTCGTCCCCCGAGCACTTTTAATAAAACCCATCACATACTATCACTGCTGATACTTTGCAGTTAAAACTATAGATAGATGTTGTACAATAAATGATTATTATGTTTTTAATGAAACCGTGACGGACCTCGAGCGAGTGCTTTTTAACATATGGATACGTTGTTTTTTAGTCTGGAATAAATCCAGAATTCTTGTAGACATTTTCACGACACGAAATCAGTCAAGTCCGGTAAGACACAGCAACGGATAAGGGATTAGTTGTACGAGATTTAGGTTTAACCGGGTTCGGCGATTCCATTGATTTAATCCGTCTTTGCATTATCGTCGACTACGGTTAGTATGAAGCATTTTCACGTTTCAGAGCAACCAAGTTAAAGTACATAAGCAATACGAGTTAAAAGTTAACAGAATGCTTAGAATTTATGTTTAGTGACGAATGACCGTGTGGGTAAGGCGTCTGTGTGTTGGCTCGGGTGGTCTGGTTAAATTGGAAGCCTATTAAGCTACATGTTGATGATTTTTAACAAACAAAGTAAATTACCTGTATACCTACTTTAAAAGCATAGGGTAAACATAGAATTATGCAAAACAATGGAAGAGTCGAAGGTAATGTAATGAGTAGAATGCCATGTGGATTGTGAGGTGGAAAGAGCCAACACAGATTTGAGGCCAACAATAATGTAATGTGTGTTAGGCATTACATGAAAAGGATAAATGGGAAATAGAAGTAGCTAAAATCAATATGATGATCTATGAAATGACTGAGTAAGATATAATTAATAATAAGTATACAAGTAGTAATAACTAATAGGTAGTAAGTATTTTGGTGGTTCTACCGATATCAGGCCAAATAAAATGAAACGGATTCATATTGTTTAGTCTTGTTGAAAAAAAGTGTAGAACTCGAAGTAATAAAACGGTTAAGATAGATTACCGAAGAGAATTACAAAACAATCAAGTCAGCTTAAAAGATTATTAGATGTTTGTATGGTAGATAGTTTTTGAAAAAAAATATACAGTGTAGTATTAAAAATTGTACTGTGTAAAATTTTACAATTAAGGAGTGGTGCCATGTATTTAATAAGAAAAAAATTAAGGCAATTTCTGGACGAAATTTGACATAAATATACCAATAAATCGCCAACACCTATTATTATTGAATTGTAGACCACGCTGTCCATCGATATGATCTATTATGATCTTTATGAATTTTGAATAGATGAGACTTCGCCTTAAAACTGCGTACTTATATTTTTTTAATATTGTCTCTTAAAACATGTATTACACAGGAATAAATAAAGTACCTATAACAACTGGCGTCCTCTTAGGTCGACAAGCTCAAGAACTACCAGTAACTCGAGTACCTGTTTAGCATTACTACTAAAAAAAGTCAAAAACCATTAAAATTTAAAAACATTTGCGTTACACATTTATGCACACAACTTCAAATACTCGACATTCAAGTTTATTGAATTCAAGATTTATTTATTGTATCCAATCAAAAATGTTTTTCCATGGTTAGTATAGTCCCATAAGTTTTGTTTTAAGTGTGCTTTCGTAAAGCTGTCGAATTTTAAGTGTTTCCAGACAACATATTTTGTCTAAACTATAACAAATAACTGCGTGAGCTACTAATAGTACCTATAATTATAAGTACTCCACCATTTGTCACCATTTTGTGTAGTATAGAAAACCAATTATGTTTTTCTTTTATCGCAAAAATGTATATTTAAAAAAAATTTGTTGATTTTAAGCTAATTAGAAAGTCTAAAAGTTTTCAGACCTCTTGACGTTCTAATATTTTCTTTTAACTAGCTTAATCGAGTTTGCAAAGTATACTTTCCCAAAACATACTAGTAAACAAACAAATCACACGGTTTTTTAAGACAAAGTTAGATTAACACAAAGTAAATTTATTTTAAGTCCTACGCGATCGAGGGTTCATTTTTTGTGTTATAGTAGTTTTCCAAAATTATCATTAGTTAAATTATTTTTAAGTTTTGAGTAACATAGATAAGGGATTAGGTGTACTTGTTTATTTGCATAACTATATACAATGTAAAATTATTACCAAAGTATTTAGTTTTTAATTTTTGTCCTTTTTGGACAATTGTATAAATGTTTAGAAATATATTGAGAAGACGGTCAAAATGTTTAAATATTTCAGTAGGTTTCAACCTAAATATTTTGCTTTAATATTATCAGCAGAAAATAATATTGGCAGTTCTATTTTTAAGCTCAAATGTATTTTCTTTATTGTAGTCATTACTATATGTCTGAAAGCATAGTATCTTGTCTCCAGACTTGAATGTATATATTACAAGGAATGCGACAATAATAATAATGAAAAATGTCTCGGCCGAGTCTTCCTGAGTCTAGACAAATAAAACGGTAAATGTTCCAACACTTGCTAATGGATAAAATTAATTTTCCAATAACAAAACGCCTTTGTGAATTCTTCCGGTACGTGACTCAAAACGAATACCTTTTAAATATAATTATTTCCCTCTGCCCGAAAGAATAGAAATTTAATTAATAAACCCACTACAGACACGTTATATTAAACAGTATTGGATATGAAATTTCATTTGTCAAATTCTACAATAATTTTTGTTACATACATTTTAGCGTCCATTCGACTTGATTACTTTATTATTGTGATTTATATTTATTTTTTTTTACTATATTATTAAACGTAATATAGCGGTATAATTTAATTGAAACACAAACGAACATCCACGCAAAGTTTGTTGATATTATAAATATTCATTCTGTAATGAGTTGAACGGCCCATCTAAATCCTTCACCACTAACGGCTAACTGGATACCATCCGGTCCACAGTGAGTGCTCTATAAACCTCCAACTCGATGGATAATGCGTGAATTTCGGTAACGTTGTTGGCTCGGCAATGAATATTAATGCTCATTGAAAACAATACTATTCGCACAGTGTACTCAAAATCGTCCGTCAGAAGACCGCTGTTAATGTTTGAGAAAAATAAACACCATCAGTTTAAAAAAAAACATCCCACACAACAAAAAAAAAATTTTAAAAACAATAATATTTTTTTTTATTAATATTGTTATATTATATTTTAATACTTTGAAATCATATTTTGGCAGAAAATAAAAAAAAAATGTTTTTTCCAGAAACATTTAAAGTATCAAACCACAAAGTAACAATTGCCACAATATAGTTTCATAACATAAAAATGTTAAATGATATTTTTAACAGGAAATCAAAATGTTATATGAATAACACAAACGTTTCATAATAATATTTTCTAAATATTATACGTTTAAGAAACATACATAAATTAGGTTAAAACTATAAAAACAAAACGCTAAATATTTATATTATATTTGTATTTTTTTTAAATGCTGTGTGGAGTTTATATTGATTACACTTTGTTGTGTAACACTCTGTTTTGAAATAACGCGGTATGGTATATTATAATATTAAATTTATGTACCTGAGCAGTGTGCACTTAATGTATGTCATAATCATAACAACAAAATTATGAAAATAATAATTCTGTTGTGTAGTAAATATTATGTGAATTGAACTGTTTTATACAACTACTACTGTAGCGTACTTTCTATTATAGTAACAAAAACGTTCGATTTAAATTAATGTTACATGTGTAGAATAATCCAAAAACTAAACAAAATATTTAAAATCTAATATAGCGTTAGGTTTTTCAACGTTTCTAATCAATACATTTGCACAATTATGATTGAACTTGAAGGCTTAACGACATTATTATGAGCGTAGTAATAAAAACTCTATAAACTATTGGATTAGTGTATTAATCAGAATGCTAATTTAATTTTTCTGTTAATTTCAACCCCAAAAGTGCTAATTATAATACGAATTTGTATTATATTTACTTTTTAATTACTTGCATATTTGTCTAAGTAGGATTAATATCTATTTTATATTCTGTTATAAAATAAAACACAGTCATTTATATATTCTGTCATTAACCCATGCGATGATATTATTATATAGATACCAATACTTAACTACTTTTGTTTTTTGATTTCAGGTTACCCTATCCATATCTATTTTGATTAGTCTCCACGTGTTTTTTCTTTTGGTCGTTGAAATCATTCCTCCCACTTCATTAGTGGTGCCACTTCTGGGAAAATATTTAATTTTCGCTATGATACTAGTGTCTATAAGGTAAGTATGATAGAAATAAAAGGCAACGGTCCTAGGATAAATTGACATTGTATCCTTTACGGGTTTCTCTCAACAACTATATTGTTACAAGACCTGTCGTTATATTTTTAATGTTCTCTCTTAATTATTATAAGATAATCTCTTGCCTATTTTTGGTTTTTGCTCTTTCCTTTAGACTGTTACACGTCATGTATATCGTCAAAAGTTGGGCATTATTCGAATAAAATATTATTTGTATAATATAATTATCATTCATATTCTCTATAACAATATGACTATAACCTATGGCTCAAAATAAGCTTCTAAATATTTTTTTTTTCAAATCAAGTTCTTATCACTTGCTTCTTTTTTTTGTTAAAACTGACAATTCAAATATAAACCAGAATTTTAATTATTTCTCTTACACTTTGCCGATCTAGTTTAATAATTAGTATTACTATTGAAATAGCATTGGCATTAGGCCACCGAGCTGGAATACGCTTGGCTGAATGAAGTCCTTCGACTGAGATAAGTGGTAACTATTAATAGTAATCGATTGGGAGGCTGTATATACAGAGGAAAATAAGGGGGCAGAAGCTCCGTTCGGGACGAAGGAAACGCTCCAATGATTAAATCGCTATTGTTACTATTTGAATTGTATTACTGCAAGTAGCAAAGCAAAAGGGGACAATACAATGACGCGCTAGTTTGCCGTTCGATTATTTTGAATAATATAATTATATCATTACACCAAATCAAATTATTTATTAATTTATGACAAAATCAGAGCGCGTTAGTTACAGCTTACGAAATGTCTATTGCAATTTAATAACAGTATAACAATGATGAGTATAATTTAAACTTGCTCAGTTTCTGAATTTGCTTATCTATCGCACTACTTCAACGCAAAAATGTATGCTAAAAGCGTATCACAAATACTATTAAATTAAGTTTTCCAATTCGATTTCCTAATAGTGTTAGGAGACGGTCAAAATGGCAAAACATTTCAAATGCTTTGTTTAATATTTATTAAAGATAAAAAAATACGCATTTGTAGTATTAACAAATACGTCAAGAATGTGCGAACAAACTTTTAAAAAAAGGTTTAAAAACAAATTAAAAAAAAAAGCAACTTGGGTAATATTGTAAAATGTAGAAAGGGGGTTTTATGTTTTTGGAACAAAATTCTTTTTTTTTGTTATTTTAATATTATTTTCTAACAAAATGGCACCTTTGGAAATCTAAAAGAATACCACTATGTCGAAGGGTTACAGTTTGTGTTTAACAATACCTTTGTCGTCGACTGCAGTGACGGTATGGATATTAAAAAATACTTTAATTACTATATCTAATGTATACTGTAATATATATATAACTTAAATGTATTATAACACTTTTCTTTAGGAAATCCGAATAGGTTATAATGTTAGAAGCATTATGTCCTTTAAACCGCGTCTAGTGAAAACAGGAAGTAAAATTTGCTTTATTTTTTTATTACACCAAATAGTACCATAATGTTATATTGTGTTTTTTTCTTAATATCTTCCTCTCCCGTTGTTACAGGTGCCGTAAACTACCTACCAATTTTTCATTATAGACGTTGATTGATCACTTATACAAACAAAATCCAAATTATTAATTAATTATATTCTTTATAACGTTTTACGAAAGGGGGAAAAAACAAATATTATTATTTATTACAGTTGAACAAGCTTGAGTCATTGTCATGATTTCTGGTATCGTACAAGGATGTGGTATGACATTAATATAGACCCGTATTAGATATAAAAATCATACAACATTTAATTCATCATAATATCCTCTATTTTTGTCTCCCTCTTTCTTGTTATATATCTCGGACGTTTCTGACCTGCATTTCGTCTAATGATTAATAATGTGTCTATTACAACCACCAATACTATGTCGTATAGCCTCCTACCAAGGACTATATCATGGGTCCAGACAAAAAATAAATAAAAACCACATTATTATAAGAATAATAATTATACTTTCTTACTTTTACATCGAGGCTAAAATTCAAAATAAAACTACTGGTACATTTCGTATATTATAACCAAATAATATAGTTTATATATATATATATTATTTTAAACATTATACATGTAGAATAGTTGTTATTTTTTATTAAGTTCTTACGGAAACATCTAAGAAAATTTAAGTTTATTAATTGTATGTGATATTTAATTAAGTTTTCCATAATTCCGTACTTTGTTGATCAATGATAAGGGCGAGATTCAGATTAAAATCCCGGCAAATAGTTTGTAATTAAAAACAAATGATTATTCATGAATTTGTTTCCAGTTTTTAAATAATCAACCTTGTTAATGAACCAAATGATTAGGACCTTTAATTGTATGTATATTTTTGTAATTAAAACATAAACACAAATGAAATAATTTATTTAAACTTACAGTCGAATATTAATGACTCTTGTATTTAATATTAACTTAATCTCGAGAGTTAATGTGACTCAATCCCTTTATAATGATTATATGCATGTATAATTATTTGTTTATTACAGAACACACAGAGCAAAAATAAAAAGTATATAAATAAAAACAGAAAATACATTTATGGATGAACCAATTATAAAAAAAAATATTCGCAATAATGTATAATTATTTACCAATAACAATGTTTTATTATTCATAATAATAAATTGTTTAGATGACATTTTGAAACAAGTTTAAATGTAAATATTATAATCGCAAAAACAAAATTAATTCCTCTTCTTCAATTAGATAAAACATGTTAATACATTCAAAGGCAATTACATTCTAATGGCATTGATAGAAAATGAAGTCTTTTGAAAGCACTTGTAGTACACATATATGTTGAAACTTAGCGTGAGTTTTCAACATTTCGCGTTTAGTCTGTCCAAACCGGAAAATGTTCGTTAATTTTCCACGCTCGAGAAGACGAGAAAAGAAAGATAGTCATTTTTCTTCTTTACTGTATAAGCATAACAAAATAAAAAATAAATCAGATTCACTTTTTAAACAATTTTTTAAAAAGAAAACATCCATTAAAAACTGAAGTTTACAAAAAATAATAAGTGTACATATGACTACATATGTACAATACGTGTACTACATATATATAGGTATTATATGTATAAAGGTCTGAGTTTGTGTTTTACATCGAGATGGATAGTACTCGTTACCAGAGGAAGGAGAAACATATGTCAAATAGGAGAAACATTTCATCAAACAATTTTTTTTTAACTCTCTAAATCCAAACAAAATTCGCTACCAGTATGTTCATTAATGATATTTTTTATAGTGTGTTTTAACTTAGAAAGTGATCTGGTTCCGGGTCCTGATAAAATACCAGCGTTTTTTTTAACCCTTATTTGATCCGGTCTAATGGACCCCTTTGATAGTGTGATCAATCAATAGTGACTAGTGTTAAACAAGTATCGCATGCACTAGTCAATTATTCCAAGATATAAATTGTTTATGTTATCCTTGAGGTCTGGGAATTTTTCTAAGTTGTGGAAACAATATTTTGTTACAGTTATCTGGAAAGCAGATGGCAAAACAGAGGTACTAATTATTGCCCAATGACAAAGCTAAGTTCTCTCCCTAAAGCTTTGAAAGACTAGTTGAACATAAATTTGTATTATTTACCGAAAAATCTTGAGTTGTTTGTCACAGTTACCATATAGATGCCTATCCGAAATTACAATCAAATTAAAACATATTTTTTTTTATAGTGTTCAGGTAATGGACTACATCTAATACCAATACGTGTATGCATATTTCTTTTCAACATAAGCGTTTGCCTGTTTTATGTCGCTATAAACTTTATGGTTTTGATATCGCTGTTATAAGTTATTAAGTTAGGGACCTTGGTATAATTATTTTGTCTGGTTTATCCATTAATCGCCGTGTAAAAATTGCCCGTGCTAAATACTTGAGAAACCTAGAGTTTGTTTTGCAGACGTGTTATACGCACTTTAAAACTCTTCACTTGGCTTTGGTCCGTTTTGTCTTAAAGGTTGGATCAATAGTTTTGAATCCGTGTGAGTCGACGTGATTATATAGACTCAATTTTTTCATGTAAGCTATAATGAACGTCCTCAGTTTTTGGATGATGTAAAGTTAACCATTTATCTTATATTTTGCACAGTAAACGTAATTTTGTTGTACATAGTCCCATAAATAGAATACGTGATAAATTATAGCAATATTTATTTTGTCTAATTTTTATTTTTTCCACAACTGTAGTTTTAAATTAAAAAGTGTTGTGCGTGTCTATAGTTGGCTTGACGTTATAGAAAACTAATAAACATTTTAATTCAAACGTATCAAATAAACGATATGGCAGACATAGTGTATCGATGACCCGTTTCCGATCCAAAATGAAGGTTTAACGGGGATACAATCGATTGGACCCTTTTTCTGGTGTTGTTGAAAAAACTGACATTCATAGTGCAAACACGGAGTCGTAAAATATTATCGTATTCATAAAAATTCAATTTATAATATATATATATATATTATGTGTGACCAAACGATACAAATATTACACTTGGGTGAACTTCTATAACGGACAAACGACTTTCCAAAGCGGTGTAAACGTCATTTATATTATATTGATACATTATGTACCAAAAAGTCCCACACAATCTGAGAATTCAATAGATACTTCATTTAACTAAAAATAATTAAATCGGTCATTGTTCTCATCACTATCATATATATATATAATCAGTTTGTATCATCTTATCTGCCAAACAAAATGTAGTTCATTGACAAAATTAAGACAGATATTTTAGGACTAAATATAGTTCTTAATTTAAATAGACTACTATAATTAATTGTGTATTTATTATATTAGTTATTTTTCTGAGTTTATCATTATATTTATTATCATAGTAAAGGACCAATAATTTGAGTTGAGTCCTGAAAATTACCCATAAAAATACATTAAAAACATAATCGTTATTTTGATCTCCTGTAAAATAATTTTGTGGATATTTTTTATAAAAGGGATAAATTTAAACTGAATGTATATTTTTTCATCTAAACGAGTATAGTTTAGTAGACTTTTGGCTTTAACCCGACCTTTTACTAATGATACACCGTAGATTAAGCGCAAATACATATAATAACAATACAAATTTTATTCTCGGAATTAATATTAAACACCAAAAACCTTTTTTAAAAGATAACATCTATGAAATAACTAGCCTAATTGTTGTTGATAAAGTAGTTTACCGGTTGTTTGGAATTTGTATTTTAATATCTGTAGACATTTACTCGAGTCTTACATGAGCGTTTTCCAATCAGTTTTATATATTTTAGTAAAAATCACTGGAAAAAGTTCTAGTATGGTTTTACAGATTCGACCATTACTAGAGATAACAATTCTATATAATTAAGACGTAAAATTATTTTTGATACATTTTTACAAATTACCATAAATTTGTCAAAATAATAATTTTTTTTTTTCATATTTATTTTGTTTATTCTCTTTGATTAAACATATTTTCGCGTGCTGTGAACAAAGAAGTTTCGGCGGTAACAAAACTTTAAATTACTATTTGTCCACCGAATCTGTCTCCGTTCCGAGCCAGTAGTTTTGAATATATTATAACAATAATAATTATTATTCCAATCTTTCGAATGTAGTCATCTGGAATGCCCGTCTCGAGTTCATTTAATGAATACGAACCTTTGTATTCACACTTTTTTGATGGTGTTTCGTATGATCGGTAAAATATTTTGATCACTTCGTTATCTTCAACATTTCCCCTAAAACCAGTAAGGACTCAAGTCAACCCTACCCCACACGTTTGGTTTCTGTGAATTGTTGATTATCATTTAGCATTAAATTAAAAAACTAAAAAAATCCCCATTGTCCGACTACGGTAATAGTTGATGAGCATTATGCAACCCATACAAATAATAACCAGTATAGCCAATTCGTCAATTTATTATGGACACGTTTACTTGTAAAACATAATAAATTAATTTTAAAACTCATAAAATAATTATGTTTTATAAGTACTATTCCAAAAAAATATACTTATATGTCCAATTAAAATTAATGTCAACGAGAATGTGGTTTAGATTTCATATTCTTTGTTATTCTTATTTGTGTTTTTAGAAAAAATGAATAAAGATTATTGCGGTCACATTTCATAGTTTTGTAATTTTTTTGTTTTTTTTTAAATATCAATTTTAAGTCTTTCAACAACGAAAATTAAAATTGTATTTTATTCTTATTCAGATTTTAAACAAAGGTTATCTTATTATTTATATGTATTATTTAAAAATCTAAAATCTCCTAAACCTGTTCGGAATTTTCATCATTCATAGCACATACAAACTTAATCAAGAAACTAAATCTTTCATTAATCGTTCCTTATATTTTTAGCGTTTAATTACTTTTATTTTGTATACAATTTGCCCGATTTAAATTGCCATAGATAAAATTAATTGTATGTATTCTTTTCTTACAGTATATGTGTAACAGTGGTGGTATTGAACGTCCATTTCCGATCGCCACAAACACATAAAATGGCCCCATGGGTGAAACGAGTGTTCATACATATTCTACCAAGACTGTTGGTTATGCGAAGACCACAATTCCAGTTTGAACCGAGCAGGTAAGTTGTCGCAGTAGAAAACAATAAAAGATCTCATTTCGTGTAAAATTTATCGATAAATCATAAATAAAATATCGTATAAATACAACTATGATATGAACACGAACTGCAGTTGTTTTGTATGTCGTTTTGAACTAACGGTTTGGCCGGACAAATGCCTTAACGCAGAACATAGTAAACGAGAAGACTCAGAAAGTTTGTTGCACATGTGTATACACGGACACTACGCGATCTTGCAATTTAATTTATGTTACACATAACTCCCGAGACTTTGCTAAATAGTATAACCTTTAAATTATAGTAACAATATTGTTCAAACGCAATACTCATACGACACACACAATATAACAATAATATTATATTATATTCGAATTGTGTAGTGTATGTGTAACTTACTTGGAGACATAAACGAGATGAGATATTGCCTTAGTTGTAGTATTTATAATATATTCAAGCGCAACACCGGGACCCATTACCATAAAATAGTGTTTAATGTCATATTTAGTTTGAATATAAATCTTTGCGGATGATTATAACGTACAATTCAAGCAATTCACTTGATAATTCGTTCGAGTCATTTTACCCAAGTCAATTGGACAAAATGTTATGCGCAATAAAGCCAATTGTTGTAGGTATACTAATACAATGTTTACCGGTTATAAACGATGAAAACATTAGCACAATGACAAAACATGCGACCGTCGAACAAGTTTAAACACAAAATTAACTAATTATTTCAGTTTCAATGCCGGCTCGATAGTGTTGAAAGGCAGAGACGTGCATCCGTGCTACTTCCAAGCGGGTTGCGGATTCGACGAGGCCAGAAACGACAAAGGTCGCCGGTCGACCGCGGACGACAGCGTGTCCAAAGGCACTAGAGAAACGTCCAAAGAAGATATATCCAGGTCAGTTAAGAAATTATTAAATTATAACGTAAACGTTGTTATTTCGTCGACAGCTGTTGATTTACTATATTGATGGGCCTATCAATGTGCAAAATCTCGATACGTCCATGAAACATATTGTCTCTATACAGTCTACAATCACCTCTTCATATAAGAGATGTATTTATAAGTTACACGTACAATCAGAACATTCGTTAATAATTTCCATAATCGGCCAACCTATTGTCTTAATCTATTAATATTGTCTTGAATTATCGATACCAGAAAATAACAATTGATACTTTCTGTCTGAATATAAGTATGAAATTTCTGTCATAATTGATATTATATCAAAATGTTTCACACGTAATCAACAAAAAGTTAATAACATAATTATGCTTTAGTTTGCGAAACTCAGATGGCGCTGGATAGGTTACAATATTAATGTTGGGTGAATTTTGTTGGTAGCTAAAAAATCGAACATCGACCATGTGTGACGAGTAAAATAAAATTTATTAACAGACCTTCAATTGACTGAGTTAATTATTCGCGGAGGACTAATGGCTATATATACTACCATAATTCATTTAAGCAACAGATAAACAAAATAACTATATTTAACCACGATAATCAGTTTCAACTGAATAACCAATTTTTTAAACTAAATTGAAAACTAATTTATATAATTTTGATTTATGTGTACATTTCAAATGTATTCGATATTACAACTATAAACTACCCAGATATACTTTATATATATATTTATAATATTTATATGATAAGGTGTCATTTTCTTTTACCTAACCTAATAGGAGGGACTATTTTCTTAGTTATTAACGCGGGTCCGTAGATATCATGACGACTGTACGGACGTAAAAGAAAATGACGGTACCTACTTAAAAAATAACCCTTCTCGTTGCCCTTAGAAATTAATATGGTACCATACTTGAAATTTTGAAAATATTACACGATGTACTTGACTGTCGGCTGTTTAAACCGTGTAATATCCGTACATCAACCATTGTCGGAAAAGTTGTTTTGAACATTTGTTTGCTATGTTTTATAATATTATGAACAGCGACGGCGAAGGAGGCAGCTGTCAGGTACACGGGCTGGTGCCGAGCGTTGTATCCGACGATATATCCATCACCGAGATGACGACGGACTGCAGCAAGAGTTCTGTCCTGCTGAGAAGTCCAGGATTCCTGCATTCGTCCTGCCCCCCTGCCATGCACAAATCCTGTTTCTGCGTCCGGTTCATAGCGGAACACACGAAGATCACCGACGACGCCACCAAAGTATGTAAAGACAAGCTATCTAAAAACCAAGTAGTAAAATATATATCCCATACAACAATAAAAAAAAAAAGTTTTAGAAATTCAGTCAAAAAATTCGGTAATATTTTAAAATCGTGTTTTGAGATTTGATTAAAAAAAAAATGTTCGTTAAATAAGTACTATGAACGCATCTCCAATATTTTACCTATATTTTAAAATATATCATAATATATTTTTATGTATTCAAAATACATTTTTTTTAATATTTAATTTACCGTCAAAACATAATTTTAAAACCTTTTGAATATTTTTTTTAAAAGGTTTTAAAATTAAGCATTCATACTTTTTTCACTGTATGGAATAATGTAGATAATCAATGGTTATTCAACAAAATGAATAGAACGGTAAATATACCTAAGTAAGTCGTTTGGTGTAAAATCCATATTGAAATTTAATGGCCCGTATTTATCATAGTATGTAAATTGGAAGTATTAAAGGAATAATAATATATTATTATACTATAGGGCGTATTTCGCGATGGTTTGACAGATTAACATATATTTCGTATGTAAATCGAATAGAGCATAGTAATAATACACGCCCTATAATAATATTAATTATACGGAATACTCCGGAATTTAATAATAAGTCCTCGACATTGATATTAATTATGTATTGCCAATGAGTAAATAACATTGGATACCAAATTTGTTTTTGTCTAACAATTTTCAAATTTTACAAATAAACAAGTAATTTATAGAACAAATATAATATAGTTGTCGACAATAATTGTTGCTTGTTAGTTGTTAGTTATTGATTTTTCTTTCCAGCAAACATTCGAATCATTGCTTTATTATACCAAACAAAAAAGTAAAAACGTTTTTTACTAATTTGAACTAAATTTCTATGAGTATAATATTTGTTTGATGTTTTTAATGTAATTAATTACATTGTACAAGACAATATTGGAATAAAATCTAAAATAACCCCGTATTTCATTTGTTTAAACATTTTTTTGGCCAAACCGAATTGGACTTTGTGATGACTAGCACGTGTGTTCGTACTGTCAACTGTGTTATTTTTTTGCTAAATCAGAACTGGTCTCAAAATTCTGAGGTCATATTTGGTATTGGCGAGAAATCTATTGATGTATAATTTTAACCCTTGCAGGTCAAAGAAGATTGGAAATACGTTGCTATGGTGTTGGACAGACTCTTCCTGTGGATATTTACTCTAGCCGTTTTCGCCGGTACCGCAGGTATCATTCTACAAGCGCCCACCTTGTACGACGACCGGATACCTATTGACAGAAAATTTAGCGAGTACCAAACGTAAGTGCAACCCAATCGATAAGGCCGTTCTATCGACAAATTTTACAAAATATTTTAAGCGACATTGCATTTTCGATTGCAGATACGATAGCATAAGGAAGAAACTCAAGATAGGCCGTTACTATAATAACTAAAAAAGTATAACAATATTAATTTTTTCGAAACTTAGGCGGTACCTCGTCACTGCTGTAACTTGATATTGTTTTAAACTTTTTTTTATTTTCATCCCCGGTATTAATTTTTATTTAAGTTGACACACAATTACACACCACACATAACACAAACACACGGTATTTTCGTTAACCTGTTTTATAATGTTTTTTTTTTTTAATTCACTTGCTCACTCGATATTCATTCATATAAGAATAATAATATTGTTTTACACGACCCTCTAGTATTTTTTTTTTATTGTTCTCGCACGCTCAATACGTGAAGTCGTCCTATGGATTTACATAATAATACCTCCATGTTATTAATAATTAATATTTTTTTTTCGGACACCATCCATCAGGCTGTTTACACTTTTTAAACACACAGTGTTTATGTTATCCATTCACCGGCTACTTTCGTTGTTTGTTCCCACGAATTATGATTAATAATAATATTATCATTATTATTGTTAGTATGATGGGTATAGCTATCGAGGTATGACATTATTCAGTACTAATAGAATAGAGGAAAAAACAATTTCGTTCCATTCAGTCTAGCTAATGACTCGGTAATACGGTTATTGAAAAATAAAACAAACTTGAAGTAATAATATGGTGACAAAATAATCATATATTTTTTAAAACATTTAATATAAGTTTGCTACTGCATATTTCAAAAAAATCGATAAGATAAATGATCACCAAACAAGGAAAGGATTATAAGAGGAAATCGGAAAAGGGATTACTGTAAAATTTGTACATTTAAATAAAATAGCAATTTAAAAAAAAACGAAGACCCTAAAAAAGTGTTTCTCTTTTTTATTCAGGCTAAATAATTGTTCAAAGAATCTGCTAAATCATTATTTTCTATTATAAAAATGCAGTCTGTCTGGATGCATAATTATATACATAGTTGCAGAGGAAAGCTTTTGAAATTTAAATGATGTCCTTAGGATTTTGATTTACACATTTTATTTAAAAACACCGCTGAAAGTAAGCACACTTGAATAAATTACTATTTACACTCATTAAAAACCAAAATAAGAAGTAATCAAATTCTAAAATGTTCAAGAATATTGTCTGTCGAATAGTTAAAACGAAAAAGCGACATAATTAAAGTTTAATTGGACAAATACTAACTGTGAGATGTTTACGTTAAATTATTTTTTTTCAAAATTAAATCCACCGTGAAATTAAAGTATAGTTTTATGAAAATAATTAAAGATTATGTACCGACTAAATATATTGGTACTTAATGAACTTAGAACCATATGAAAGTGATGCAGTTATTATTTTTAATTGAATTATTCTAACAGGAAATGTTATATTTTATTTTTTAAGTGTACAATACGTGTTCGATGCATTTTTTTGTTTATAATAATTTACATCTATAAAAAATGATTTTTGACATTTTCCCCGACGAATGTTTTCTTGTTAAATGAACTTGGGGTACGGAAAGTGCTAGAGTCGGAAATTTTCCTTCCTTTTTATTTTCTTTAACAAAATGTGCCATTAAGTATAAGGACTGTATGAAACACTTCAGTTATTTTTCTACCCGGCTGCGTTTATATTTTTATTGACAAACAGTAGTAACAGACTCACTTAGTTGAACCTCTGAGTACAAAAGCATGATTCAAAATAACAATATTAGTTTTACAATACTCATTGTAGAAATAATATATTATTAGTTAAGAGCCGTAGACTTATCCACTAGGTTGTATTAAACGTTTATTGTATTTGTTTGCAGATACACATCCTACAGCTTGTCTCAACGAGAAGAAATCTAAACTGCCGACGCAATATGGATTATTGTAAATTTTAAATAATAATAATAATAGCATTAGTGATAATAAGACCATTTTTTGAGTAAGTTAGACGATTTACAACCAATTTAATTTTACCTTTAAGTTGTGTTGTGTTCCGATGGAGTTTTTTTCATAAAAACCTTACATCGTCGAGGCCCAAAAACAGAGTAAATAACGTAAAATTTTAACCCAATAAATAATATGAATTCATAACAATATATTGTATACAGTTTCAGTAGTATTTCACGGTTAGGCTGGGTAATAATATTATTGTTTTATAAAAAATTATGGTTAATATTTATAAATATATCCATTTATTCGACATCAGCGAGTTGTACAATAAGAGTACAGACAACTACTTGAAGAAGTAGATACATAGGTTAAAGTTGAATTAATGGGATTATTCCGGATTATCGTAAAAACGATTACTACTAGTTACAGTATTTTTATCTTTCCGAAAATCTTCATCATAAAAAAAAAGGTTATTTAAATGCTGTATTAAAAAGTTAATTTTTAAACACAAAAACGCAGAATAAATTGTTAATTACTCAAAATGTAGAGTCCAATCCAAATAAAATGTAACTTTTTTTTTTATAAAAATAACTAAAACGTATTTAATTTTTTTCAATTCAAAATCATTCAAAATCTACGCTGTAAAACATAATAATTTTGGACAACCACTAAAATAAATCCATTTTATAGGGGTTTTCTTGTTGAACCTGAATCATGTCTTAGATTATGTTCAGTACATTGAGAGATCTTGAAGTCACTTTAAAGTTATGAAAAACAGACTCATTTATGACTTTTTTGTATACTTTTAGTTTTTCAAAACTTGTATAAATTAATTTTAATGAACTAAATTTAAACTGGTTTCAAATGAAGATGTTTTATAACAACTTTTTTTAAACATAAAATCTGAATTTAACTATAAAAATCCATTGTATTGTAAGTGTTTACATATTATTTAGTGTAACAGACTCAAAACTAAGAATACATTTACAATATGATATTGTACAATTCTTCAAGAATGTCAACAACTACCAGTTTTTAATGTAACAGGTAAAATATGTTTAAACAAAAGTTAATAAAAATTGAAACAACACAAACTTTTGAGATAACACCATGTTTTTCACACACTTGTATATTGCTCGTCAAAAATGCTATATAAAATGGTTAATCAAAAAATTACTTCAATTGTATTATACAATATAATTTGTGCCATTATTTTGTTGACAATGATCCCACTTGACTTATTTGTTTAAGGATATATATTGAGAATCAATCAAATAATTGTTATCCGAAGCTTTTGCTTTTTGATTAATTAATTTAAAAAAATTGAATATGTTATTTAGGCGTTTTCAAGATTTAAGTTCACTCGATGAAACTTCTATCCGATTCTTAGTTTTATGATATTACATTTCGACGAATAAAATGTATTGGATTTAAACGTGTTCAAACCTAGGCTACTTATTTATGAATAAATATAGTTCAGAGTAGAAATCGTAGAAATATATAAAATAATAACTTATAATATTAAGAGGATGACACTTCGCCCATTTCTAAGGAGTAAAGTATAGGCAAATTATTCGCAAAATCTTAATTTAGAGTTTGAACTTATTGACTGTAATTTTTTTCGTTTGACTAGTACAGTCATTTCTATAGAATAAATTACAATTTTTTTTCTGTCAAAACCTCTTGGCGAGGGACAAACGTATTCACTGCAAAATTACCAAATTTTCACAATACTCAAAAGAGAACTTTATCTGTGTCGTAGCATTTCTATTTTTGTTTTATACCAGTACTCAAAAACTTTTAGTAAACAAATGAAATGATGAAAAAAACATCTTTACGAACGAATAACTTGGATGGTATTTAACACAACCGTACTAAGTCATAAGTAAAGTTTTGCAGCCAAAAGATGCGTCCTCTTAATATATTATAGGTTTGAGTACATCTCAGCTTTTGACAGTTTTACTGGATATTGGTTAAGTCTCATTATATGTATGTATAAGTGGTGTAAGATAAGAGAGTAAACAAAAAAACTCGATATTGCCTTAACTTGTATCCGGTTTACAAGAATTGTAGACCTTACTGTTCATATTAAAGGCCTAAGTTTAAATCCTTTCATTTAAAAAAAAATAATAATGTTAAATAAAATTGTTTGTTAATTACATGCAATATAATGCGTTGCTATTAGCTGGTTGGCCGGCAGTCACTGCAAACTAGTGCGTTAAAGTACTTTAGTATGTCAGTTAAATTCTGTACTAATCGTTTGTTGAATTTTATTTTTAATTATGTTATTCAGTTATTGGCATATGTGTGGCCTTTTTTAACAGTTATCTTGAACTACCAAGTTTAAACGATGAATTTTGAACTTAACACCACTTTAAGTGATATTATTATTTTATTTTATTCACTTGTTTAATCTACAAAAAAAAAGAGTGAAAGGCAATTATTTGTAGTTAAAAGTAACCTTTCTAATTTGGTATGCAAAAAATTAGTCACAAGTAGTTTTAAGGGTTGTAGTTATTTTAATTTATGCATTCGAATGCAAAATATAAAATATCAACGTTTTAGGCAACACTTTACACAACTTTTTTTCATAATAATATCATTTCATATACCTAATAATTATAACTTTATTGTAAAATCTAAAAGTGTATTTAAAGGATTTTTCTTTAGTTTATTGAATACACATCACGCACAGCTATCCGCCAAAACGTTACAAAAACTGGTCTGTTTAAATTTAAACAAATAAACAAGTATTACCTTTTTACCGTACATTTATATGCATTAAAACATATTAAATTCAACATAGTAAACATGAACCACAATAATTTATAACATATGCCATACAATTTGATCTTCAACCAAAATTACTCGGGCTTTATCGTTTGCAGCAAAAATTTTGTTTTGTTTTTTGATAAATTATAAAATAATTCTTAAGGTTGTATTTATAGAAAAAAATATTAATATAATGATAATAATAAATATTGTAATTTAACAACAACAGCTGCGATTGAATTGATGGGAACCAATATTTTTTTTTTTTTAATTACTTAGAGAATTGTTAGTTAGTCAAAATTATAGGTTTTCAAAAAATTAGTTTTTGTTTTTTTTAACTAAAAACTACAGAAATAATGTATTATATACAGTACGAATAATGGTGATTTGTCAGATATATTTATAATATGTAAATTTGTCAAATCCTTGCCACCCACAATTTAATGTTTTAAACTGTGAACACTGCAACATCAATTCTAGGACATAGGTACTTAAAAATATATAAAACATTTATAAACTACTTAATTAAAATTAAAAAAAATTATTTTAGAATATTCGTTGCTCAACAAATTGACGTGTTTAGATTTTTTATGATACGATTTTTTTATAGAACAACCAAAGAATTTAAACTGATAAATTTCGTTTTTTTTTGTTGCTAATGTTTTGTGCCTAATGTAATATTGTACATTTGCAAACAGCAACGCGTAAACGTTAAGGTTTAGATAATTGAGTAGTTTATATATATATATGTTATATTACATGTATCATATTATCAAGTTTTGTATGAAGAACACGTCATGCGTTTTCTACAAGCTTACCTATAGTTATTGTGTACCTAAGTAAAAAGGTGCACAGCATAATAATAATAATATATAAAATATGTGTAATTTATAAATTAAGTACAATTATGTTTGTACACGTTTAGAGCATAGGATATGGTGAAAAAAATAATTTAAATATGTTCACGTGTTTTGTATATAATAATATTATATATAATGATAAAAGTGTATTAGGTACATTATTTATTGTATTTTGAGGGAAATCCGTTTTTTTAATAATACCTATTGTAGGATTATTGTTTTGAAAAATAATATTATAATAATAATAATTTATTACATTACGAGATGTCATGCTTTTTATTTTAAAATAGACTGTGATGTAAAAATGTTATTAGACTATTTTGTTAATATGAAAGTTTGTTTTATAAATAGATAAAATATTATAATAATATTTAAAATAAAGAAACAATTATTATTAAACGAATTTGTGTTTTTTTTTCTGATGACATTTCATCTTCTAAATTCTACACACGTCCTAACTCATTGTTTTTCCTCTTGAAAACTGCTTAAAATTTAACGTCCTTTTTAACTTGGTTTTTAATAACTTTATCAAAAATAAGCCTTTTAAAAACGTAGATAAAATTATATAGTATCGAACCTAAATTTTGTATACATTAATTTTTACTCTATATATGCTCAGTTCCTTTTAGTATTTTCAACAACCCTAAATGAGTATCATTACAATGTGGACTTTTGTAGCTAAGAAATAGCAAGTTGTATTAAAATCAAATTTAAAGGCACGCGCCACTGAAAACAATAATTTTAAACCTCTTTTCAAACCAATTTTTCTGCTATTTTGCCATTGATTGAACATTGTCACGAGTTCCAGCATACCCAATATCAACATAATACTATCTAATGACAATAATTATTCATCAGCATATAGGTTCTAACACGCGTACGATTTAGGTTAGCAACAATCCGGGCCACGGTTGTCTGTCAATAGCTGTTATTAATTTACACTTCAGTACGGACATGGAGTGCTGTGCCGAAAAAGGGAAGGGGATCGTACGTGGAACTTAGAGGTGCAATTACAGTACCCGTCCAACTGTTTTTCGAGCGATGCAAAAAATAAACAACAAAAAACATATAATATAACTGGTTGTTCAAACACAGCCGGTGCGATTGACAAAATGTGTGTATGTGTTTCGCACGACCGCTGTCGGCACACAAGGAAACCCGAACGCCCCCCCTGGGTTAGTCATCCAACGGTATGCTAATATCATAGAAGTATATGGCATCTCCCAGATACAACTCGAATACCGCGTAAATACAACATTGTTTTAATAATAATAATAACGACAAAAAAAAAATCTAAACGGATTATAATAATATAATCTAAAACAATACAGCTCGATCATACGGTATATTTTTTTTAGTTTTTTCCTTTGTCACCATTCGATATAACGTAGCTTTTGCAAAATCGGCGCTGTATGGTCGCCCTTAACATTTTTTTTTTTTTTTCGTTCTAAACCGTCCGACGGTGTACGATTTATAATTATTATACATCTAAATATTGTTGTTGGGGTTTTTTGTTTTTTTTTTCTTCGGGGGTTTAAATAAAATCATTCAAAATTTTGCACAGCGAAACGCTGAGGATGTCGACGCTGCAAGCCCGGCACAGGGGACACAACATCCCGGACGGCGTGACCACTTTCAACGAGATCGAATACGACCGGGAAGGAGGAGTGTTCCTGAACCGGACCAAACTGATCCTGGTGTGCATCATCGTGTTTCTGTTGACAGCCGTGTCGGCCATACTGGGAAGGTGGTCGGCCGAAAGAGCGCTCCGGCCGGTAAAGAACTTGCTTTTTTTTAAAAAAAAAACCATAGGTATACATACGAGTACAAAGAAAACACACTCGTTTCTTCTGATCGTCATCTGCTAAAACAAACGACTAGCCGATACCCAGTTTTGAATAAATTAGTTCTAAGCACTTAAAAGTATGGGCTGGAGGAAGAGCGCGGTTGTGTAGCGCAGGCAAATACGCGTTTGAGTCCTGTACTGAACTGTAAAAAGTATTTTGTTCAAAACTGGTAATTGACTAGTCATTTTCCACGGCAAGTGATTCTTAGTACAATAAAAATTAGTACAAATATTATGTAGCTTGCTATTTACAATCCATGACAAACATATAAAAGACTGGAAATATAAAAATATTGTAAAACAAAGTTACAAAAAATAACACAAAACAATAAATCGAGATCTTGATTGTGTATGTTAAAAATAAAAAAAAACACTTAATAAAACTATTACATAAAATAAAATTATCCGAAATAAAAGAAACTATTCAAAACGATCAAAAAATAATTTAAGATAACCTCTCACTATAGTTATCGTTTCTACATTCATTGTCGCTGGTTTCCCAGGGGGGGGGGCTCATTTAAGGTTTGTCTAGGACTAAATTTGTTCCCAGAAAAGAGTAGAGTTAGTGTCTTAATCTTAATAAATCACTCCGTATAATAATATTGAATAATTAAGGGTTGATTATAGGTGATTTATTTACAGAGTTTTAACTCACGGCTAAAACTAGAGTGTATTTATTTTATTAGTACGTGAATATAAGTATAAGTATTGTTTAGTGGTTGTGACTTTAGCCAGATTACTATCGTTTTTTTTTAAGGTAAACAAATTAAAAAAATTGTCCATAATTACTCTGTTTGCTTTTCAAATATTGTAGTTTTACCAGTGTACAAACTATCACAGTTATATTATGACCGTTTGTATACAATATAGGCACATTATATTTAGACAGAAAACAAAATATTAATAGTACAAATGATTCATTTTTTTCTTATTAATTATTGTTCAAGGGTTATTTTCAAAACCTAAGACAAGCATAACTTATACTTAAAATAGTTTCCAACAAAGCTCAAAGAAACATTTCGACTTTGTATATTGTCGCTTGGTAATAATTTTAATGTAAAATCATGTAAATTGTTTTCAAGACTTTATAAGTGACATAAATTATTAACAGTTTTTTCTAGCTAATGTTTTTACTTATTATTTGTTTTATAATAAAATATTGTCGTTTATTAATATTGATCGTATTCGCTCACCGTATAAAATAATTGTTGTTTAGACTTATTTTTTTTTTTATTTAACCGAAAAAGCCTAAACACATTTTATGCTAAGATATTGTTTGAATATTCATTGGAAAATACAATACAAATTCAATATACCAGACCTCTCACTCCTACAAATACTGTCGACTTCCAAACCTTACAGCTGCTGTTACCATACAATATATATTTGTGTGTAATTTGTCTTGCGGCACCTTGTAAAATACAAAACGTTCTATACCCACTTTTTGGTTTGTGTCGTTATTATTACCTTGGAGTTAAAAACATTATTTTTTTTCAACACAAATTTTTAATTATTATTTGTCACATAAATGACTAAAATCTAGTTCAACGAATTTCAGAGCAATTAATACGGCTATGACGATAATATTTAACTGTGAAATTCCCTAGGGTATTATATTCTGTACTCGCATGTGTGTGTGTCGCCATGTGCGTAAACGGTGAATTAAAAGCTTTTGGTCCAAGGTTGAATCATTTTTCATGGAATACCGTTATAATTAAAAAACTGTTTGGCATTTATATTTGATGATACACAAAATGGACTCAAATTCTAACAAAGCGTGTTCAGTTGCAAATATTTTGAGCTAGTTCATAAAATACTTTTGCTGCTATGTTTTTACCAAAACCGTACACAATATTACTTATTTTATTTCCACGTGTAATGAGACACCGGCATAAACATCTAAATTTAATCGAAAACACAATTTAATGCTAATGAATTTAAAAAAGTGTATTTGATATACTACTGTTCTTAATAGAAATGTCCTATCTGCATTTTGCTTGGGACGGTTAGATAGGTCTTTTTCTCTTAGTTTACCCTAGAAAACTGTAGATAGGACGAACCTTTTATGATCTCCAAAGAGCCTTGTAATGCACGTAAGACGTTTCCAGTTGGATCATAAAATATTACAGCCCAAAAACTTCCCAGAGAGCCAAAGATCTCAAAATCGCATTTTTGTTGGCAGGCCATTTATTCTTAGCACGGCAGTATAGTAGTGACAACCAACATGCTTAAAACAATAAAAATGGGTTTAGATTTAATTTCAATTGTTATCCAACAACAAAATATGCATTAAATACTGTTGTTTTATTAGCAATATAATTGAAATCCCTTATTTTTTTAGTATTTGATAAATGCGCGGTTTTTTAAAATATAGTTATCTACTTTAAAACAAAATGTTGGACTGAATTTATCAATGAATAATATTTCTGGTACTTCGGTTAGAATATTAAGGATAACTTCTTTCATACTATTTATTCTTGATATTGAATTGTCATTTCCTCAAAATTACAATTGAATCACGTTTAAGAATAAAGTTATATCTGTTAAAAAAAAAATCCATTAAAACGCTCAACTACGGCTTCTACAAGTGAAACAGCGGTAGTTGAAATTGTGGGGAATTCGGGATAAATTAATACACCTTGACAGGTTTAATATTGTCGTTTAGTACATAAATCCTGATTCGTTGATAAAGAAGGCCGGTGCTGACCCTGCGATACCGTTCTTGGCCGTCGAGCCCGAGAGCTACAAGGTGTTTATTCATCCGCAACTGTATGCAGAAGACGGCACGGTGCCCAAACACGACGTCGAATACAACGGGCGGGTGGAAGTGATTTTCGGCCTAGAACAGATACGTCAGTGATAAGCTTGCACGTGGGTCCGCTGTCGATCGACAAAGACCCGTTATTGAAACGCAGGGAACACATCAACACACCGACGGAAAAAGTTTTAGAAGTAAGTGCCAAACCTGACTTGTATTATTTTAAATGTCGCTGAGACAAGTGATACGGTTGCGTTGAGGACAATGATTGATAGGGATGACGAGCTTATGAAATAGATATAGGAATGATGATCGACGAGCAAAAAATTAGAGAAAAGATGGTACAAGACGGTGGCCGCTAAAAAGGCTAACGTACTCACCTGCAAGTGTGTGGCAACACTATTTACTTGTATGTCTTATATTAATATGTCTTAGAGAATTTCACATTTGCGTGTAACTCTGTCGAGACCTTATACACTTTACTGATGACCTGTGGCGGCTTTTAGGACAAATACCAATTCGTGATCACAACCGATGTGGACGAAACTCAGGAGACGATGACAGTAACCGTTGGTGAACCACTCAGAATGGGACAATACTACAGTCTGTTCGTTACATTCAAGGGAACCATCGGTCGGAATCCGAGCAACGGAGGGTTCTTTAAGGTGGTGTTTGACGACAAAGAAGCCGTCAAGAACCGATGGTACGTGGCCACCAAGCTGGAACCGCACAAGGCCAGGAACTTGATGCCGTGCGTGGACAATCCCAAACACAAGGCGTACTTCGAAATGAGCGTAGTGAGAAACAAAGACACCACGGTCATTTTCAATACCAAACTCAAGACTACCGAGCCGTAGTGAGTACCAACCTCTTAAGTTAGACTTCACGTTTTCCTTTAAAAATAGAACACTCTCCGTCTGTAAGTTTTGCCAGTTTTATTAAGCGGTATCTTAGTCAGAGAATGCTTAAAGTTAAAAAAAAAAAAGCGAGTATTTTAATGATAATGATCACGCTTACCGAATTCTAGTGACGGAGATCTACTCTTGGATCAATTTGAAAAAACCGGACTCATCAGGCCGGACTCGCTTGGATTGTTCATGTCGAATTTCAAAGCCCGCCCCGTGCCCACTACGGGCTCAGTGACGGTGAGCGCCTGGAGCCCGGAGCCTACGGACTCCATTGAAATCATAACGGACGTGGTGCCCAAAACGTTGGATTTCATGGCATCATATTTGGACACGGGCTTTCCCACCAACAAGCTAGACATAGTTGTCGTGCCCAGCGCTTCGGTGAGCTCGGCGGAGAGCCCCGGCTTAATCGTTCTCAAGTTTGTAGACCCGACGAGATTATATTTTCTCATCATTTTGTACGATTCTAGTCGATCATTTAATCTCAACCGTTCGCTGTTATCGTGTAGGGATTCGGCGTTGGCCGCGGAACAAAAGTCGTCGGCAATCGACTACCAAAAGTCTATGGAAGCCATTGTGGTGCACGTGATCAGGCAATGGCTAATGCCGTTGCGAGGTCTCGGTCAAACCAGCAAGGAAGACAATTGGCTGCACGAAGCGATGGCGCAATTTCTGAAAATTGTCAACATCGACCACGTGAGTACTGCTAGCATTTATAATCGCTAAAAAGCAAAAGTGCCAATTTTAAACGTCTCCACGACTCGGTGTAACTATGATCTGGCCGTTGTTTTTGTCCCCGGGCTTGTGTTTGTCGACTTCAGACAACCTGGAAGTGCGCTTAAAATAAAATGTAGTTAGAGCCTAGGTGTTTATTCGGTTGCATTGTCGATCTTACAGATCAAACCGTCTTGGGATTTTGGCGCTAGATATCCGCTGGACACCATACAGAAAGTGATGTTCTACGACAGTTGGCTCAACGCGGAACCCTTAGCTTATGACGACGACCGCACTGACATCCATCAGTACACAAGTCCTTCAAAAGGTACTGCGACAATATCCCAACGACAGTGTGCACAGTGCAATTCATTTTATTATCTTGTAACCATGGTTGAAATATACGGGTTATTGTACATCGTCTCGAATTGTTATCCCCAGAAATAAAATGACAGCGTAACGGGATATCAATTTTACTATATACTTTATATTTTACCGTATACTTATTGTTTGATTTTGATTGGCTGCCCGTTATGCTGACATATTTGATTTTATCATCGAATATTTGATGAAGAATGGGTATATAGTGCAATAACCCTGTATATTTCAATCACGCTTGTAGCTTATTTACTGACTTGATTTTAAGGAACGGCAATTTTGCACATGTTAAACAACACGTTTACCGAGGACATATTCAAGCAAGCCCTTAAAGAATATCTAACCGTTGAGTAAGTAAAAAGAAAAATTCAAAACAAATATTATAGGACTTAACACCTGTTCCATCCGGGTTTAGCATGTACAGACGTTATGAGATAAACAGTTTTTGGACGATCCTGGAGGATAAAGCAAGAAACAGTTCTGTAAATTTACCAGACAGTTCGGCCGTGCTGCAGATTGTCAGCACTTGGACGCGAAACAAGAATTATCCATTAGTCAGCTTGAACGTGGACGGAGACGATTTAATTGTGAAACAAGTAAATATAAACGATTAAATAATCTAAGCACATAATTTAATATTTAAAACAATAAACCTTTCATGTTCAGTTTCGGTTTGAATACGACGAACCCAAACCCACCAACGATTGGATAATACCGATAACGTTAACTTCCGGTGCAACAAACAGTACCCTTGTCTGGTTAGAGAACCAACCGGAAACGAGGGTTCCCGGATACGTCTCGGCGTCAAACGGAACTTATATATTAGCTAATCTACATCAAACAGGTTAGGTCAGTTGATAACTAATCTATATTGTGAACAAATATAACATTTAAAGGGGGTTAAAAAAGTCAACAATATCCAATCATTATAGCCCCATAACCTTTGAGGTGAAACGATTTAAAATCAGCATTTTTGACAATGGAAAAAAATCAATAACCGTATTTTAGTCGCAATATACTTAACCGTTTAACAGTATGGTTTAATTAATTTCCAATGGATATTCTCAGGCTATTTCCGTGTAAGCTATGATGATAGCTTGTTGGACAAAATCGAGGTCGAGATCAGTAAAGAAAGTGGTGATTTGGACGATTACACGATCGCCCAAGTGATATGTGACCTTTTCGAAGGAGCACTAGCCGGCGTTACCACCTTTAACAATGCACTGGGATTACTGGATAGAGTTATACAGAAGGCTACTCCGACCTACGGATGCTGGGAAGCCATTTACACAGCATTCAACAAAATGGAATCTATTCTACATAGTACAAGGCATCATGGACCTCTTTCGGTATTTATGAAACAAAAAATATGGACAAACGTCTAACATTAGATATATTTGTTAGGCTACAAGAATGTATTAACTATGGTAATTTAGTTCAGGTCTTAAGGCTAATCGTTTGGCAAACCACCAAAAGTTGATAAAAATACTTTTTAAATTGTTCAATAAAAGTAAAAATCCTCGTGTTTGTAAAGCTTTTGTATATTTTAAAATTAGCCATCTCAAAACTACCATTATGCATTTACACCAAATTTAGTGTTCTTTTAAAGATATTCATGGAGGCAGCTGTGAAAAGAGCGTACGAATTATTCCAAAACAATGCCAACGACAAGCCATCTGAAAAAATTGAAAAAATGGATACGTTAAGTATAGCCGGCCGAATGGAACTGAAAGAATACGTGAAATGGGCTAAAAACGAATTTGAGACTTGGAAGACCAAAGCGGCTGAATCGAATCCGTAAGCAGAGTTAGAAAAAAATTCAGATTTTTCAAAAGTTCCGAATCAAAATGTTTTTAAATAGGAAGTTTGGATTCAAATTAAGTTTAAATTTTCGATATATTATTTTGACCAATTTAGATTTTGGGATTTTCAAACTTCTGTCAGTTAAAAAACTTCCAGTTGTTCTTACCAACTCAACATTTCTTCATTACTACTACTTCAGTTTAATTTGTATCTTTGTTATTCGTTGCCCACCTCACTCTCATCCTAATCATGCAAATGTCAAATTTAGTACAATGCGCTTAACACGTCGTTTATTTATTGTAATCAAAATAAAATGTATGTTTCTAGTATTGAACCGAACAACAGAGAATCAGTGTATTGCACTGTTATGCAATACGCCACCAAAACCGATCGGCTGTTCATGTTAGACCAGTACAAACTTTCCGAAAGCACTATGGACAGGAAGGCTTTGGCCAAGAGTTTCTCGTGCTCACAAAATTCGATATTTTTAAATAAGTTTGTACCCCTCATAATTGATTTATTATTTTAACAACGATTGAAATTCGACGTTTAATCTGACGTTGTATACCTATGTTTTTTTTTTGTTGAAATTATAGAATAATGTCGTTGGACGATATCAAAGAAGAAGATTCGATAGAAGTTTGGGAATCGTTCGCAAACAAGCCGACGGCCGGTCCGTTAATGTTTCATTACTTGAGAAATAACTGGGAGTCACTGTACAAAGAGTGAGTTTGACATTGAGTTCTACCAAAGTCTTTGGAGATTTAGTTGTAAAACTGTCTTTCACTTGGCTTAGACACATTATACATACCTCCATTGTCGCTTACATTGTGCTTCAGGTATTTGGACTCGAACCGGGAACTGTTGGTGACGATGCTACGAACGGCCGTCCGAGGATTGAACAGTCTGGCCGACTTGGAAAACGTCAGCAGTTTTACTGAAAAATACTTTGGCGTTAACGTAGACAACAGAGATTTAAAACTGCTGGACATTTTGCGGTTCGAAGAAGAAATACTTAGGCAAAAGATTTCGTGGAGGGAAAAATACGAAACGGTCATATCCGGTTGGATAACTCCGAGATTGGGAAAAAGCAAATTTTATACACAAGACAGCGACAGTCTGAAGTATGCCATTCTGGACGGGAAAACGCCCGAGGCCGGCGAGGGCTCCAAAACGACCAAGCCCGAAGGTTACGTGGAACAAGTAACTAAGTTAGTCCTGAAACCTAAAAACGACAAGAAGGATTTAAAACAACCCGAGGCCGAGGTACCCGTTGAAGGTAAACCCGGAGAAGACCAACACAAAAAATTAGAGCCACAACCAGATAAAAGCAAATCAAAAGAAAATGAAGTAACGAGTTGAATGAGTAAAATCAATTCATCTCGTTCACGTCATGTCAACAATGTATAAATGTGTCATTAAATTAATTGAATTTACACTTAGTAAAAATTAAGGTTTTTGTATACGCATACACATTTATTTTAATACAATTTATAAAACTCACATTGATTAAGTTAGCCGTAATCTTTTAACTATTATTCTACGTGTACCTAATATTACTATCAACATATGATTATTATTTCATAAAATATACTACGATTAATAGTTCTAGCCGAAGTAATGTTTAACAATATTTTATTTAATGTTTAATTATATTATTCGTTTGTATGTATGAAAAATACATATTTTATTTATTGTTTGGTTAATATATATATATTCGTCAACAAAATGTATTTATTATGTTGGACATTTTTTTTATCAATTATAATTTATTTATTATATGTTTGAATGTCTAATTATTAGTAATAATAAAAATAAATAAATACAATTTTTTTAATTATCGAGATAAAAAAAGTATATTAGATAAACAAAAAATAACTTAAATAAAATGTTTCGTTTATGATATTTATTTTAAATAAATTTGAAATTATCAGAATTAATTTTGTTATCTATAAATAATCAGTAAACTAATATTATCTTTTATCGAGTTACCAATAGTAATATTCACGAATAAACAATTTTATATTGTTCTTCAAAAATCTACTATTTATTATTTAAAGTTTTCTCATCGAATGCAGTTTCTGCCTTTAGTTAAAATATATACCTGCTCAAACAATCAAATAAAATCAAACAAATAGTAAGTTATAGTTAATTATTGTTAATTGATGGAAAAATTGTTGATCATTCAGCTTATGTCGGTATTCCTTTGGTCACCAAGCGATATGCATTTAGTATATATTCAATGTACTATAATATAATTAAATTTATTATTTATATTATTATTCATAACATTATTCCCTAGCTTCGATTTTTCTAATGCTTATCTGTACACGTTATTTGTTTATTATTTCTTATAATGAAATTCCGTCAAAACTTATCGTTTATATGCATTAACCGTATTGTAGTTTTTACAATGTAATAAACAAATTTGTGAAAAATTAAAGGTTTTTAATGAGTTAAAGCAATTATTATTGTTGAATCAACGTTTTACAATAGAGTCCACCCTGTATTAGTTGTTTTGTTTGTACTGTTGTAAAACTCTGTACTAGTTGTTTTTTCCAATCAAAGATGAATATTTTTGTTTATAGTATCTTAATATAACTATTACTTATCTACTTAATTATTAGATAGAAATCTGAAAACTTAAGAGAAATTGTTATAATGTTTACCCACGCGATGGGCCAGAGTACATTTTCAAATTTCGACTTACTACCCTAATATTTTTTTTTTTAAACACAAATTCCATGTTTGAGCTTATTACGGTTACCATCATTAACATAAAACTGTATCTTATTTAACAATTAATTTCTTAAGGCAAGTAAAGTGACAATAAGTGCTTAAAATGTCCATAAAATGGATTAAACGATCGTTTATTAAATAATATATTTTTAACTATCATAATATATAATAAATGTTTGTACATAGTACACAGGAAAATGGTAAATAATTACTGTATAAATAAAATAAATAAAAATTAATACAAAATATAATATCAAATCAAAATGTACAAACGTATTTTATATTGATATGAATAATAATCACTTGCCTTTAAAAAAAAGAAACGATGATATAATAATCATACAAAATTGGATTTTTAGAATATTTGAAGTAGTCAAAAAGGAAAAACGTATACAGTAAACTGTTGCACTCGTAGTGCATAGATCAAGAAGAATAATATAATTACACTTATATCTAAATCTTATAGAAGACGTTTTTTTTAAGTTAAATGTACATTAAAATTAATAATAAATATTGATATCAAATCATTAAAAACGACATACTAATTTAATAGACGTACAAACGATGGGTTTTAAAAAAAAAAGTAGTATAAAAAGTAATGTCATTTCTACTAAAAACTAATATTAACTACATTTTGTTTTTCATTAAAAATTTTCAGTCGTTACACGGTTTGAGAATTCGTTAAGACATTTTTTTTTTTTTTTTGGAATCGTTTATAGTTAATACAGTACTAGTAAAGAGTATCACAGTGCTTCTCTATAATAATACAATGATTAATGATCCATTTTATAGAGCAAAAATAACGCAAACCGTTTGAGATTAAAAATTGCTTATAAAAATAAAATATAAAAAATTGCTTTAACATTACAATCACAAACAACGCATGACCATAATGTTTAACCCTGGAAATGACAAAGATTTATAATTTGATGAGTCCCTTGGATTAACAGATTCGAAAAATTCAAGGTTCGCTGTTGATATTTTTCTTGCTGTCCGCCTTTAGGCTGGTCGACATTCTTTGGTAATGTGGCTTCCATGTGCCGTTGGGTCGCTGGTAATCCAAATGGTCATATTCTTGTTCTGAAACGAGTTGGGTAAAAAAAAAACAACATAAATTTTAGAAACCAAAAACGATTAATATCAGTTGTACTCGAACAGTTAACAAAAAACGTTTCACAAAATAAAGTGTACCGTTCTTTAGGTAAAGTTGGCAAAAAAAAAAAAAACAAAATCCATAAACAATCCAGTTTCTCCTTTTCTGCACTCCCTCTCCCATCTTTTCTTCTTCTAGCTATTATGATAGCTTTTGGTAACATTTTTAACAAAAGATAAGTTTTACACAAATAATACTTTTATCTGAGAACTTTTCCTTTGTTTTATGCAAGTTATAGCTCTAGTACTTTTTAATACCATTAGCTCTTAAAAGACCGGATTGTTATCAAATCATGTTTTTCTTAAATACACATAGGTTATATAAATATATATTTTTTGTTAAGTGCTCGCCGCCTAATTTTGGGTATATAAATGTATTGACAAAAGCCAAAATTCACACGGCTGCTATTATTCATATGTTATGCATACAATATAAAATACTGTTATATTTCTTACCGGCAGCCGCTAATTTCTTATCGTCGATCTCGTCGTACAAGTTCTCGGATTTCAAATCGTCTAGGCTGTTATAGATGTTGGGATTGTTTAGGTCGGCCTCTCTGTTTTTTGAAATGGCCGTGCTAGTGGATGGTGCACCGTAACTGTCGCTGTCGTCGTTCATGGTAGAAGAACAACCGGCGTTGCCCAAATTGTTGGGCTTAGTGAAATTGTTTCTGATCTGGCAGTTGTTCAACGACAGATGTTCGTCGACAGTGCCCACCGAAGAACTGGTGGCCCCAAACGAATACACGGGATTGTCGAAGTGGAATCGATCTGCGAATGGTTGAATAAAACATAAAAACCATCGTCACCTAAAATATGATCTTCTTCACCCTACCAATTAGCTAAGCCCTTACTTTCCGACACCATCTACATGACTTATTTCTTACACACACCTCTTCTTCTCCGGACTACCTTTACCTTTAAATTCCTCTGCACGAATTAGCTTTCTACTGGCCCACTCCCAAATGCTTTGTGGTCACCTCTTTTTTCACCTCTGTATCCAAATACTTACCAGGATTTATACTATGAGGATCTGCGCCGTATTGGACGTGCGCAATGACAGTCTTGAGCGTGGCCACTCGTTTGCGGTAATAAAGGAACAGCATGATAATAATTGCCAACAGCAAAATCGCGACAAACATTCCGGCAAACGCTCCGGTTGAGCTCTTTTCCGTTTCAGACGGACCTACTATGCGAGCCTTCACAGGTTCGTCACAATTTTCACCTAAAATATAATAAATTCACATATCCGATTAGTATTTTAACTGTGGACACCAGGTATGGAGCAGTTAAGACATTTGTTTCAAGACTTGTTACCTGTGTACCCCTGTCGGCATACACATCCGTCCACCGCGTGGCATATGAACTTGTCGCTGGGGCAGTTGCAAATCTTCATGCAATGGTCGCCATAGTATTGGTCGGGGCAAACTGTGAAATGAGAATTAGGTTAGATAATTATTACAACAGCTTCATATTGTACAACAAAAAATCACCGTACTTTCTGAACACGCGGGTCCGGTAAATCCAGGTTTGCAGTGACAAGCGCCATCGATGGCTCGGCATGTAGCACCGTTTTGGCATTTGCATTTAAGACCACAATTAATACCGTACGTGCCTTCTGGACAAATGCTAGTACAATTGGAACCCCTCCAACCGGGGAAGCAATGACATACACCTATAGATCATTAGGATCGTAGTGTGTTAATAATTTCAAACAATTAAAAGCTTTGACTTTTCCCTTACCGGTGACATGATGACAATCGCCGAACTCACAATTGCACGACTTCGTACAGTCTTGGCCGTATGTTTTAGTGGGACAAGCGTGTTGACATATTGGCCCTATGTAACCCGGCCGGCACTTGAATTCACCGGTCACGTGGTCACAGGCTAGATAGTCTAAACGATAAACACACAACAATAAAAAAAAAAACCCACGCCGAAATCTCAAACCGTATTGGCTGTAATTGTTTTTACCTTCACGCTGTCTTTCCGGGCATTTTTCTTTACATCCGAAGCCATATGATCCCGGTCTACAGGGTAAATCGCACTTGACCCCTTCCCAACCGCGAGAACACGTGCAACGGCCGTTGTTTTGATCGCAAGAACTGTCGTTGAGGCATTCGCATTCGGTCTGGCATTCGTCGCCAAATAGACCACGAGGACATAGCGTCTCGCATTTCACACCTGCGCATTGTATCGTGTTGAGTTAGTAAGCACACTCTGATTAAACCTCAAACGTTAATTATAAAAACAATAGCAAATCAAATCGATTAGTTGCATTCGCGGTAGTCGAACGACCGACAAGAAGTAATTTGACATCGTGGAAAGTCATCGACGACTTACCGTTCCAGCCTTCTTTGCATTTACACTCGCCAGTTACCGGATTACAAGATTCCGTGTTTGGCCAATCACATTCGCAATTTTCCTTGCAATCCCTGCCGTAAGTGTGCGACTTGCACATCATATCGCACTTGTCACCGTAGTATCCCGGTTGACACGTGCAAGAACCTAAATTACAAATCAAACAACAACAATTACAATTACCATGCGAGTCGTCAAGAGCGAACAAAAGTGATTTACCGTCAACTGGACTGCACGCAGCATCGTTCTTGCACTGGCATTCGTTTTTGCAGTTCTCTCCGAAGTATGACTTCTCGCAGGGCAAGTCACACTGCTGTCCCCTCCATCCGGCCGGACAAATGCACATACCTGTCTCCGGCGAACACTTGGCATTGTTGTTGCACTTGCACTCGCTGGAGCAATTCTCTCCGTACATACCTTCGGCACAGGTAATGTTACAAGTGGCACCTTTGTAACCTGTTAACAACGTAGTAAATACATTTAAGTACAAGACTCGAGTGTTGTGACACAAATTACTACGCGAGCTGTTGTCCGATTTTCGAATACTTAAAAAATAACCGTACCTGGTCCACACACACAAGTTCCGTTATTAGGCAGACACTGGGCGTTGTTGTTGCACGTGCACTTCCTGCGACACCCCTCGCCAAAAGTGTACAAAGGACATGTCCTCGAGCAAGTCGGACCATCCCAGCCGGCAGCGCATTCACAAACGCCGGTCCACGGGTGACATCTGAAAGAAAAATAGCATTTCTTTATTACCGTGACCTCATCGAAATCAACCGGTTAAATTCGCATCGCTGCCATCACTTACACGTTGGTGTTTTCGGTAACGCATTCGCACGTTTTATCACACCTTTCACCGTACAAACCGTCCGGGCAAGTTCTCTGCAAGCAGTTTTCTCCCATCCAGCCTCTGTCGCAAATACACTTGCCGGTCTTTGGGTCGCACATAGAGTTTCCTTTGCAGTTGCATTCCTGCTTGCAATCCCGGCCGTACAGTCCTTCGGGGCATATGTCTTTGCACTAAACGAGCGAAATACAAACACAAATTCGGTAAAGCGGTTTTTGAACTGTACCCCGTCGCGCGATTGACTGCCAACAATTACCTTTTCGCCGTAGTATCCGGGCAGACACTGACACTGTCCGGTAATGTGATGACAAGCGCCTTCGTTGAAACAGTCACAAGACTTGCTGCAATTCACTCCCCATCGACCGGATTCGCATTTTTCTCCACACACTAAACCCTAAAAAAGTCAAGCACGACATTAGAGTTTCAATGGCAAACCGGGAATTACTATGCGGATGTAATCCGCACACTGCAGCCAGAGGTTTGATATCGCTAAATGTCAAGTAATAGGTTACTTCCCGAAAAGGCGGTTCTTATTTTGCTTTTAAGCTAAACAAGTTGGAAAGAGCATAAACGACACGATACATATCTCGAGTAATCTCCACATAGTAACAGTTGATACTTATCACCGAAGATAGATCATTCCAAAAGTTTGAATAAGAGTATCGAACAAATTGATTGTTACTAAATCTAGTCCAGGAAATAAAATAATAACTAAGAAAGTACAAGATCTAATAGTTGAATAATTTGTCTGAAAATACACGCCGAGTAATTATTATTTAACTCCGTTCGTTACGAACACAATACATTTGCGGTGATTTATGATTTAAATAATTGATTTCCCGCACTGCCAGTCTTGAATCAATATTGGCAATACCGTCGGCCGAAACGATATAATCTACCGGTCTTTTGTCTATTTGACACAGTCAAACAACTACGCGTTTTATTCCGGTCTGATTGTATTTCACAATCTGCGACAGCCAAAGCCCGATTTAAACGGATACAAAAAACGTGGGCTTCGGTAGTTTTTCAACGCTCTCAAGGGCGCCATCGATAATAATATTATATAAGTAAATCCAATAAATCTGGCCAAAATTATTAGGCGGTTCCATTGATCACTTAGCTTACCGTCCATCCAGAAGAACATACACATTGTCCTGTCTGATGGTCACAGATGCCACCGTTTTGGCATTTGCACTCGCTCTGGCATTCGTCCCCGTGTCGACCGGACGGACACCTTTGGTCGCATCTGAAACAAAACAGTCGTTTAAAATGTATTCGACAGATTTTTGGCGTAGTCAAGAAACACACTTTATCGCCTATAGTTCCTACAGTATGGATTATAGAGGTCTGGAAATGGTATGAAAAGTCGCGGAGAGAGTTGAGGAGAGTTGATATGTTGATTTGATAAAATTATATTTTCCCAACAGAAATAATTTCAGATTTTTTGGGTAGCCCGGTAGTAAAGAGAAACATTATATCGCCCATAGTTCATACAATATATGAACATCATTCTTGAACGCGACTTTATTTAGCGGAAAACTACTTCACGTGATTAATTAAAAATTCTGGTTTCCAAATTTCAACCACTCGTTAAGCCGAGTCAATGCACATTTGGCTAAATAAAGATTCGATGACGAGGTCTAGGTTGTTTGACTCTAAAAACGTTTACATTTGAAAACCATCTTCGAGGAAACACTGTAATTTCCTAATTATCGCCATTTTAGAGAAGGAGTCTGATTCGACTCTGGCCAAGGGTCATACATCATACACTTACAGTGGACCTCTGAATCCGGGCGGACAATCACATTTTCCAGTCACGTGATGGCAAATGGCACCGTTCTTGCAGGGACATTCCTCGGCACAGTCTACACCAAAGTTGTGTGGCGGACATTTGACCGAACAGTCCCTTCCAATCCATCCAGCTGGACATTTGCAGTGTCCGTCGTACGGGTCACACGGAGATCCGTTTTCACATTGACAATTCTCAGTGCAAAACTCGCCGAATTTACCCGCTGGACACGCTGTCAAAAATTAAAAAAAAAAACCCGTTAAAGACGTTATTAAGTAATAATCAAATATATTGTTACGGTTTAAGGTGTCTTACTTTTATTACAGTAGGGCCCGCCATAGTTGTCATCGCATTTGCATATGTTGGGGAAAATACACGTGCCGTGGTCGCAGGGATACTGGCAAACGGGAATGCAATGTGTGCCGTTCGAAGAAACAGTGAAGCCATCGCAACATTCTTCAATTGGTTGTTTTTTTTCCAAAATCTAAAATTTCCCAATTCACATCGTTATAGCATATTATAAACTATAATAGATTGTATTTGCACTTATAAACGTTTAATTAGCGTAACGGGCTCTAGTTTAAAATATGACTATAACCACACAGACCAGTTAATAAACGCGTTTTACATTATCTATGAATAAAATAATTAAACCGAATCCAACTGGAATAATTATGCGATTTAATTGTACATTATTATATATAATGAATTAAGTATATTCTATTAATTCGTTTCGTTCGATTCGCTCGACAAATAAATGAAACATTAAAAGAAAGCAGACATAGCTCGCTAAACAAGATTATGGACTGTTACCACGTTAGGTGCTAAAAATACTCAAGCCATTAAAAACGCCACCAGAACAGCAGATGTTATCTCGCTTTACGCTTATGTAAAACTATAGACAAAAATGTCTTATAAGTTGAGGTAAAGAAAAAAAAAAGTTAAAAACGTTGACACTTGTCAAGGACGCTGCGTTAGTCAGATATAAATGTAACTAACGATAAATAATCCTAATTATTGTGCTGACAAACTAATTATCGTTCCAACTGTAATTACATAAAACTATTAAACACAATCGTTTTTGCCTAAAATTAGGATTATGACGTACGTTAATAAATACCGGATCTAAAATGTATTAATGTGAATTTTAATATAGCTGTAAATAGGAATTAAATAAATGAAAATGGGCTCGAGATGCACATTGTAGTCATAGTTAAGAATAACAGTATTTGTATTTTAACTATCTTTTCTTTATATTCGAATACAATTCTATCTTTTTATTTCAATAAATACTTTATTCGATTTGTTGTAGCTATTGTCATTCGTTATTTAATAAAATTTTGCTCAACTCTGATTTCAATGAGTTAAATATTATTGTTTATTCTATTATGACGATTGCAATATTATGTGAATGGTCATATATTTTATTGTGACTTCTTAGCTTTGATTCGATTTTTTTACAACGACGTGTTATAGTACTTGTATTATTATTTATAAGAATGTTGTTATTTTATTCCCTGTAACGTTTTTTGGCTATTAAACGGCCAACTTGGTCAGTTCGCCAAAAATTAACTGGAGTTAAAAATATATCTTACTATATCAGCCTCGCTGTAGGAAACTAAAACGCAGTTTTACTAATTTGCCGTTCGCCCAACGACTTTATTAAGGATTAGCGGTGCGACATATAGTTGACGTTTAAAATATTAAAATGGTTTAAAACGTTCCCATTTTTAACATTTTTTTAAATAACTAATAAGTTGCATTTCTTACCTTTTCCGAGACGACATTCTTCATAACAATCCTGTATCTGGAACATTTCAACTTGAAGTCGGTCAAACAAAAATACGATTCTCGTACTTGATACGGTTTCAGTTCGTTAACCATAACTGTGACATTGTAACTGAAAAAAAACAACACATTATAATCTTACAATAATATATTACGAGTTGTATACAAAGACAAATAGTTTTTCATTTTTGACATAACGTTTCGAATAATACAAAAAGAAAATTTAGGTAAGAATACTCATTAAAACAAACTATTTACAAACGACAGACATTGTATTTCCTGGACGTGAGTAGCACCATAAATAGAATCTCAGTAATTAAATTGAGAAAACGTACAACAATATAATACAAATAATTAGGCGGTAAAAAAAAAACTTTTTTCAATTTCTATGCAAGATCATTTCTCTCGAAAATACATACTACAAAAAAATATGATGGGTAAAATTGAATTAATTAATTTTAAAACTTGTTTAGCTAAAGGAATAATAAAAATATTCATAAAAAAAAAATACTGGTTTATACATTTTAACGCGTTTATTAAGATATTTAAGTGACGCTTGGTTTGAAAACTGGTTGATGTTAGGCTATTTAGGTCGTTTTAGCAGGTAAAACATAAAGGACTCAATATCGTTGAAATAATATGCTTTCAAGATAAGCTATATGTACAGTAAGTGTCACACTCACTGTATAATGATAATTTGCACACATTTCTCACGGTTAAAATATTGCTAAACATAGCTCATTAAATGTATACTATTTTCATAACTTTAAAAAAAATTATTTTCTTAAAACATGCTAATTATCCATTGTTTTGCGCGTAACGGCTTTCTTTAAAACATGTTAGCTTTTTTTCAATTTCTTTCAAATTTTAACACTTGTAAAACAAATTTTTCTCGACAATTTTAAAATTATTTTTGTTTTCAGTATTCTTTTTAACAAATATATAAGTATATTTTATTTTTATTTTTATTTATGGCTTTTACGGGCAATTCAGGCCCATTGCCGCAATAACCAATTGCCTCCACCTATCCCTATCATGAGCTAGTTCTTGTCCGTTATTCACTCCCAAACTCGATGTATCTTTGGCGATCCTATCTCTCCATCGCTGCCTGGGCCTTTCTCTAGGTCTTATTGTGTCTGGTTTCCATCTTGTGGCCAACCCAATGGAACCTTCTGACCTCCACACATGTCCAGCCCATCATAGCCTACTGCTCTTAAGGACTCCAATTATGTTTGTTTCGCCATACAGTTCTTCTATTTCTCGGTTTGTTCTTAATTCGAAATCCCCTTGACCGTTTCTTTTTGAACCAAATATCCTTTTAAGGACCTTTCGTTCAAAAGTAGCTAGTTTATTTTCAACTGTCTTTGTTGTTGACCATGCGCCACAAGCATATAGTGCTACCGGTCTCACTAGAACTTTGTACAACGTTATTTTTGTCTTCCATGATAGAATCTTTGATTTAAATAGAGGCACCAATACAAAATAGCATCTGTTTGCCGCTGCTAATATAAGTTTTATTTCCTCGTGGCTATTTGCGTCTTTGTTGATGTCCACTCCTATGTATTTGAAATTATCCACTTTTAACTTTATATAAAGTACAAATGTTAAATACGATAAACATTTAGAAAAGTGCGCTAATTAATCCTTTTACATTTAATTCATTAAGCAAAAGCCTAATTATAACCTAACCTTCATGAGGTTATTTTTTGTTTTGAAAGAATCACAAGTTATATAGGGGGGTTAAGTAGATACAAAATGAAACCTAGTACATGCAACAACCCAATATATATACTAGTGGTTTTTGCAATATCGTTTACGCTACTGAGTTATATTGTATTTTTTAGTGAGAACTCCTGTTATTTTTTTATTACTGTATAATTCTATGAGATATAATTTTTTTGTATAATAATTATTGCTATAATAATAATCTATTACGTCACTAACTCTGAGTATATTCCAACATGCCTGTTATTGATAATTCGTGGGAACTAATTAAGAATTATTATATTCATTGCATTTATAACGTATTACATACTCGGAAAAAATTTATAGTTGGTTCAGCTAAAGTAATTATGATTAATACATATCCACAGTGAATTTGTAGTTGGAATAACTAGATATTTCGACCAACAAAATATTTAGACATTTGATACATTTGATTGGCCTAATTATTTTTTCAATTATTCCAACTAAACATTTTGCTGTGTCCCTATTTTAACGGTTTGATTTTCCGTGTAATATGGTGATAAAATCGCGTGTACATAAATATAAATGTTTACAACTGTCAACTAATAATTATTTGCAGACTTAAATAACATGATGAAATAGGTGATAACGATTTTTTATTGTTGTATAATTCGTTATTCACAAACTTATTTTAAAAAAAATGATAATTCGAAGGTTTTTTAGCTAATATGGCACAGTAAGTAATAGCTGTTTGTTAGATAATGCCGAAATCGGCTTGTTATTACAATCAAATTGAACTAAAACTTTAAGATAAATCAGAAAATTGTCTCCTAAATATTAATTTTTAACTTTTAGTATAAACGTTAGAGCTTTATTTCAGTAGTAACCTAACCTAATTGGATTACCAAATGAAATAGATACACCAACATATTAAACCGTATGAACTGAATTTTAAACTGTATATTGTACACATAGAAGACCGTATAAGACCTACACTCGGGTCTTAAGCTCTCGGATTATTTTAATAAAATAAAATCAACTGTGTTGTGATCTATAGTTATAACGAATTAACTAGATAACAAAATTCAGACATTTCCGGTTGATAAAAGCCATTCAACCCCGAAACCCGGGAAATACGTGGGTAACAATTTACCAATCAACATAATATACAACGTAAAAAAAAAACCTTTGTAGTATTTATCATAAAATAATTATTATTCATATATTATTTATTAGATATACTACTGTTTTTTTTACGTTGTAAATATTATGTTGATTAAATATATTCATATATAATAGGCTGTAATAATAATTGATAGTTCTCACCAGCTGTTTGGCTTAATAACAAAGTATAGTTAGACAATACAAAAACGGCCTATAAGTCACTCACTAGAAGATAATATAGAAACAGATTACCTCATACACTACTTTGAGGGGTTTTTAAATAAAAAAACTAAAAGTTAAATAAAACAAAACAATAACTACTTCAAAAAACCCGTTAACTGTTGTTCGCAAACGTAACGGATTAGAACAATAATAAGGGAAATTTGCTTATCGTTCCCAGACACTTAAGAAAAAAACATGATATGTACTCGTATAATATTGTCGCAAACAATAACTCTCAAAGAACGAAACAAGTAATTGTTAGTTGTTTTCAAACTATAAAATAGAATTATAATATTTTAAGCTTCAATGTTTAATACATTATTTCAACACAAAAAAATAATTATTGACAAATAGTAAACTCTAATTCTATATACAAACTTAAATAGCAATTAATTTCTAATACATACCAACATATTTATACGTTTTCAATATATTTTACTAAAATTATAATTTTATATTATGCATATTGTCTAATATTTTTAAGTGCCAACAAACACAGATACTCGTTAAGCGTTTTGTTCTTAGCTGTCTTGTTTTTTTTTTGGAACGTACTGTTCAAAGTAGAAACATATGTTTTTGTACAAAAATAAGGCCGGAATAATATATAAAAAGTAAAAAAAAAAATGAAATAACAAAATATATAGACATCTCTTTTTTGTGTTGATATATGAGTTTACAAATTTCAGCCTAATGTTAATTTTTAGTAAAAAATTGCCCATACGATACGCCTTCATAAATAATAGTGTAAACATATTGATAACGTTCATATGTTTACACGTTAATAATGTCTATTTTGGTTTAATATATTCTGTTAGAGTTTTACATCGATTCAATTGGTTACTTATATTGTAACATAAAATGTATCGATAATGACTACTAATTCTATTATAACAAAATCATTTTAATAGTTAGTAAATACAATATTGAATTCATCTAGACAAATAATTTGTTTCCCTCCAACTCGATAAGTGTTGTGATGTTAATAATAAATTGTTAACACTCAACTGGTATTTTATGGTAAATGTATTGCTCATAAAGCTTACCTTTCTAGTCTAGTGCAAACGTTGGATCCTTTCAACTGGGTTTCAGACCTGACAGAAGTGCAGTGCAGTTGGAAGACCAACAGCAACGCAACAGCGTAAACTGTCAAGTCACCACCAACACATCGACGAACCATGTTTTGGCGTAGGCTGTTTGTTCGTGCCCAAAGAGTTACAATACACCGTTTACATGGTGATATTTATCCCGATGTTGTTTTGACAGACAAGTCTATAAAATAAAATAAAAACAATATATAATTTATTATTATTGTTGAAATACTCGACAATATGATACATAGTTATATTATATTAATAATACTACCAATTATTATTATTGTTGTTCCTATTATATAATATTAGGTAAACCGTTGATCACGACTAACCGGCAATAATTGTAGATTATAATGCATTTTAGGTAATATTATAAAAATGTATTTTTTATTGAACAGAAAAACGGTAATTTTAATGTTTGTTTATTTTTGTAATAACAAGGTACATCTCTCTGTGAATTCTGAACAGGTTCAACGGGCTGCTATTATATATGAGGTATACATAAGGTGAGAAATGTCCATTAAAACAAACAGCAACAAGGGAAAGACACATCTTGTTGACATATTTTTAGTTACCACACGACCGTTTATCAGTGGTTGCTTAGCCAGGCCAACGGGTTGCATCGCATAGACGCTTGTATAACATGCGTTGTTACAATATATACCTAACACTACAATAATCATCGGTAGGTTCACATCTCTCTTGTTGTGTAACAACCATAGCTGCTCTTAAACCATAGCTTGATTCGAGTCGACGAGTAAAACAAATCCGAGTCTTCGTGCCGCACACTGTGACCTATCTGGGAGAGGTTTGAGATCCGCTTGCGAAAGTGAATCCCATGATTTTTTTTTTTTAGCACATCAGACACGCACAAAAATTGTTTTCCCTTTAGATGGTTTACAATAAACAGATACAGATCTGATGACCAGTGTGGTAAATACAACTGTTTTGTTATAACCATTTGCAGAGAAACAAAAAAAAGTAAACTCGGCGAAGATTAATTGTTTGATATTTTGTTTTATATAGTGCGTGTAATTATCAATGAATAATCGAAAATATAATTTAAGATTTACTGAAAAATATGGATAAAGAAAGTATCTGTGGTTAAATATTTTATACAAAATAAAGTATGTAAACATCAATATTTAAATATTTTACAGCAATTAAAATAGGCAAAATATGTACCAGCGGAGTTACACTTAATTTGGAAACTGAGCAGATTTAGCGCAAAATATGTACTCATAAATAAAATAATTGTAGATTAGAAGATAATCTACAAACGATTTTGTCTTCATGGACGTCATCGTCTACGAAATTTAGATTGTCAACGAATTCGTTTATATGCTTTTGTTTTCCACCAAACTAGATAAGCTAATAATAGCTCAAAAAGAAAATCCTGAGTGCTCGTGATCGTTTGGACTCAAATCATAATCGTGACGATGCTGATAGGACCATATTGTGTTTTACAACTACAACTTTAACTACGATAAAACACATATGTACACAAACCTTACTGTCATAGAAAAAACAGCACGTTTAGGCTTCTTGACGCATTGAATTTATCACCTTTTTAAGTCAAATAAGCGATATCGATTTTTCATAATTTATACCTCATGAAAATAAATAGCTACTATAAAACCAAGATAAGAAAATGGTGTACCGTTTTACTTAAGATAAAAAAATGCATTTTATATTTCATATAAATTTAAAAATTAGAGATAAAAATATTGTAGTGGCAATTAAAAAATATCGAAGGTATAATGTTAAAAACATGTATTGCTTGACGTGAACTTTGTACTTTGTTACATATTTTTTTATAAATATAAATAAATTATTAGAATATGTTTTTATAAAGGAAATGATAGCGTATGACGAGAAATAAAACATTTATCCCGTCTAGGAAAATTCTGTGAAAAGTTCAAACGCTTATTCTTGAAAACAACGATTTTGGACTTACTTGTTTATATTAGTATACATTTTTTATATATATCTTTTAAATTATTGAATCATGAGTATTTTATTATTGGTTTAGTGTTTAAATTAAAGTGACCAAAAAAGGAACCAGTTATTATCAGATTTTGGCCTCCCTAATACTAGGTTAAATAATATTATATAATAAATATATTTTTCGACATAAGAAACATGGAAAGAATTTAAAAACATAAATACCACTCCACACCTAAATAATTGTTCAGCACAGGTAAGACCACAGGTCGTTTGCTATTTAAACTATAGGTACCCTACTTATGTTATTGCTTTAGCTCAAAGAAATAATACCTGAAGAATATTGTAAAAACTAATATATACAATTATATGATATACTTTAAGATTAGTTCCGAAAACTGACTTATATATATTTAAGTCATACCTAAGACCTAACAAAAATCATACGTTTTAGCACTTAAACATTTCATACATTATTTTGTTGACCATATTTTGACGTTTTAACTACAAATTCTACATATTTAACAAGAACACTGGACAGGATAGTATCTATGACAGCAGTCAGTAGGGCAGACAACTGGCTGTAACCCAAATCTATATCAAATACAAAATCTATCCGAACCCGTGCGTTAAATGGATAAAATACAAACGTGAATAATCGTATGAGCTAATCTTTTTGTATAACAATAGGTAAATTATTTTGATTTCTATTGAAAATACAACTGTTATGCGTATGTTGGAATACTGAGCAGATATGGTTCAAGAACGTAAACCGCGAATCTAAGAAAATAATTAATATTTTAAGTTACGGTTAACAATCAACGAGAAACTATTAAGTATGAAATTATCATTTATTACATCGAGGCTTACACGGATTGAAGGTTGTGTTCAATATTATTATAATAATAATATTCTTGTTGTTACAATGGAATTCCGCTAACGGTATATTACATACCGAACATGTTTTTTTTTACTATCAAAGATAAATTACCAACGGATGGTTATGAACTGAAATCGAAACAGATTCGATAAAATCAAATAAAAACAACTATAACTAATTAGAAAAAAAAATTGTTATGATAAACGGATACGATTTTTGTATCTTAAGCAATTTCACACCTGAGATTACTTACACGAACTTGAACGCATGGCAGAGAAGCAAAATAATAGTATGTGAGAAATGTGGCCAAGTACAGAAAATACACACAAGAGGCGCGCCCAAGGTTATGAGACCCTGGTAGTCGAGTATCCCTAAATGTAGGTATCACGTTCTCTCAGGTAGTTTTGCTGGTGAGTGTACACTCTGACAAAGCACAAACGAAAACGTACTTTATTCAATTTTTACAAACTGAAAAAAATAACTAAAAGATCGGTCATTTGTTTCCCATATATATTGTACCCCTCTTAATCTCTTTTATTCGTTTATCTGTTATTTTTTTCCCCAATGTAAATATTATTAACAAAATGTTGATTATTTTTAATACGTAATATTATTTTCTTAATCTTTATTTAAAGTCATTTAAACAAGACGTTTTGTTTAATAAGCACACAAACTTAACTTTATTACTACGACAACTTAAAAAAACAATAAAACTATAGTTAAACTCGGCATTTTAAATAGAATACTGCAGTTAATTAATCATTTAATAATATTAAATTTTAAAGTTTGTTTTTTTTATATTAGGAAAGTTATTAAAAAAGAATATTTGTCTTATTCATATTTATAAATTATATAAGTAATAAATAAAAGTAAAAGAATAACAAATTTCTACTTTGTTCCAAGCGCTTATTGTGAACCATTAAAATTTATTCTACACACACAACAAAGGATTTATTTGAAAAACAAATTTAAGAAAAAGTATAAAATAACGAGAAAAATGTATACAATTTTAATGACAAGCGATAAGTGACACATTTACCGCAATAAAATAATAATTTTCTGTGTGGATAAAATTGGTGAGAACCAATAAAGGATACAATTAATTAAAAAATATGTATGTAACCAAAAAATGTATGAAAAATTGTCACTATATCTTTTTATTTTATAAGACTGTAAAAAGAGCAACGTTTGAGAAACAAGCTGGCTCTCGGGTACCAGGGTTAAATGGTTATGGACCCATCAAACCGTACAGTGTAACATAAAGAAGTACTCATTACACGTGTAACGATTATTCTCTGTGTAGTTTCATGCAATATTCGATGTGCGACTACCAGGGTTCCATAGTGGAAGTCCTGAAAGGTCTGCTGGTCAATTGGATTGAATTTTTTATTACATAATTGCAATAAAATAGCATAATTTCTATAATATTGCAAGAATGTTGTATAGTTTACAATTTATATTTCAATGACATTGACCAGTGTCATAGTAATTATTTGACAATAAAATCTAATACGTGTATCGCGTTTCATAGGTTTATTTACAACAACAAAAATGACCTGTTATTGTTTAACTAGGAGTGATAATATTACAATACTGTTTTTTCCTTATTATTAGTAATAAAATGTAATCAATTGTTTTCTTTGTTTTCCCAAGAGAGAGTTTTTCAGCACGCAACTTTAATACGTTTATAATAATACTAGAATCCGGAAGTTGATGACTTAGAAACTTAAAACAGTAATTACAAAGATGTAGGAATAAAAAAAAAATAAAAGGGGAAAATTCCCCCAGGGTATTTCTGTTTGTGCTATACCCACTTTAAAAGATTAATCCGATTTTAGACTAAAGCAAAGGCGTGATGGTATGATGTTGTTGTTGGGATTAAGATTAAAATAAATGTGTACAAATTAGATTTACACGTACTACAGCCTCGATATACCCGTTCGAATGGAGCTAATTGACGACACCGAACCAGGATATCATAAATATTCCACTGCTATAATAATAATATATATTGAGTGTGTGTTTCATTTACTAGACCCACCAAAACGAATAAACCATATTATCATGATCAATTAATTAGTTATTATAATAATAACAAATTTACCAACGACAATTTGGTTAACGTGCAAAATATTTTATTATGAAGTCAAAATAGAATGCACTATGGTTTATGTTATATTATTATACGAGCAATCCTGTACCCACTTTTACTGTTATTTATATTATTCCGTTCACAGTGCACAGTCTAGGTAAAAATCATACTATGAAAAATCAGAAAACTGTGAGTTGATCATTATTATTATTATTTTTTTTTTATTATTATTGTACATAATATAATACTGAATAAAGCGTGT